CGAAAAGGTGATGACCTGACGTTCCCTTCTTGGGGATTTTGTTGGGGGTTCGTGAATCCCAACTTCGTTGACTCTTATGGAGCTCCGGGCTCTCCTGATGTCGGCTTTTCGTGCCGAGCTTGACTCTCCCGCACGTGAGTCCTCTTGAGATCATCCTTATTTCCCCCAGTGGGTGGTCAGGAGGGTTGTTTTCTCTGTTCTCGCAGGTAGGTTGAATCGTACCCTTCTCACGATCTGCTGTGTACCCGTGTAATTTCCCCTGACAAATTAGGCTTTCTATCTGGCTTTTAAAGTTAAAGCAATTATCGGTATTATGCCCATGGTCTCTATGGAACCGGCAATATTTGTCTTTAGACCTCCTTGTCGGATCTGACTTCAACTTAGGGGGCCATTTCAAGGTGGTCTTCTTGGATCTGTATTAGGATTTAACTAATAGGAGTGTTCAAGGGAGTGAAGTTAGTGTAGCTATTTCGCCCCCTAGGAACTCTCAGGGACTTATCATTGGCAGGCTTTCTGAATTTGGGGTCTCTCTCGCCTTTGGAGCTAGTAGCTGACCTCTTTTTGTCTCCTTTTTTGTCGTCGACTCCCTTGCCCTTCCTGGAATTCATAGCATCTTCAACATTCATATGTTTCTGGGTCTTAATAAATAATTTTGCCATACTGCTTGGTGGGTCCATGGATAAAGAGAAAAGAAATTTGGAGGATTGTAATCCTCCCAGGAAGGCTGTAAAGGCAACCTTATCATCCACCTCATCGACCTGTAATATCTCCGTATTAAACCGGCTAATATAATCACGCAACGCCTCCCCCTTGTCTTACTTAACATTCAACAAATAGGTAACTGGTTTTCGGTGTTGTCTCCCTGCAACAAAATGCCCTATGAACTGCCTACTAAGTTCATCGAAGTTGCTAATAGACTCTAGCTTCAATTTATTAAACTAAACACGGGCTGATCCTTTGAGGGTGGTAGGGAACGCCCTGTACATGATCTCATCTAGGACAACCTGCAAGTTCATGAGCGATTTGAAAGTTTCCAAGTGGTCGAGGGGGTCGCAAGTTCCGTCGAAACTATCAAGATGGGGCATCTTGAACTTCCTTGGCAATAGGAGAGCCATAACTTCAGGACTAAAAGGTAGATCCGTCTTTTGAACAAGGTCATCGACTGTGGCAGGACCTTTTCCTTTCAGGGCTTGGGCCATCCCTTCCACTTTCAATTTAAGATCCTGGATTTGCTGATCAATGTAGGTAGCTTTGGTGCGTTCTCCGACATCAGATATATCCCGTCGCCAAGAATGAGGCGTGCGTTCTCCGGGTACTACAGGGATAGCTAGGTGCCGAATGATTACTGCATTTTGCTGGACCAACTGGTTCATACCTTGACTAAGGTTTTAAACATGTTATTCCAATGCCGCGACACACTCCCCCTCTTTTGGAGCACACCTTAGCGCGCTCTAATGACGGAATGCATGCTCGGACTGCCGTGAGACTGAGTTGCGCAAGGTCGGTCATCCCTGAGACGGGGTTGGTTGTCGTTATGGTGTAATTGATGACCATTGTCATGACGCGACTGGTTCACACCATCATGTTGATGATGGTTGCTTGGTTCACCATGCTGCGACTGATTTCCGCCTTTAGGCTGATGGTGGTTGCCATCACCATGCTGTGACTGATTTACGCCTTTAGGCTGATGGTGGCTGCCATCACCATGCTGTGACTGATTTACGCCTTCAGGCTGATGGTGGCCTCCACCATTAAGACACGAGGGGTGTTGGGTTCCTTCTCCGAGATAGACTCCGGATCGCAACTGAACCATTGTTCTTCTAGAAAACTAGTATTGTTTCCCACAGACGACGCCAACTGTTGATGCAGGATTCCGCGGCTACCCAAAGTGACGTCGTACCTGGAAGAGAAAGAAGAAAAAGGATGATCAGGAAGGCACCGGTGTGGTACCGGTCTAAGAGCCTCCGACGATCAAGTTAGTGCTAGATTAGTGAAGGGGAGAAAGAACAAAAACCAACAAAAACCAAACCAAAAACAAAAACCAAGTAACGAAGTAGTAGATTCAGGACCCCACACATCATAATGAACAAGTTGCAAAGGAGCTGTACTTTTATTAATACTAGTAGGATAAGAAACACGACATTTTATGGCAAGAACGCATTGTTTCACAATTTAACTCAAAAGATTCAACAGAAGCAAATTGGGGAAGCACATGCTTCAAAACAGGAAGAGGTAAATGACTTAGTTTATTATGCCATTGCATTAACAGATCTTTATTGACATTACTATTCCTAATACTAGATTGATTTGCAACATAATAAGAAGTTGGCCTCGCGTTCAGCAAATACAAGCCATTGTCCTTGTCAAAATTTTGATGTGCAAATATAAAATGTAAATAAAAAATAATCGGAAGATGGAAAATACAGAGATTTACATGGTTCGGCACTTAGGCCTACGTTCATGGACAAAGGGCCATTAAGGATTACATTTCTATTATTCCGATATATTTTGTTTTAGTACAAAGAGCTTATATATAGGCATGGTAAATATAAGAAAATATGGAAGGTGTACAATAGTCAAATGAGGCACCATAATTGGTGGATTTTGTTCCACTATTATATAGAAATATTTATAGTTGGAAGGAAATTAACCGGATCATCGTGATTGGTGGAGGATTTTACTCCACAATTATATAGAAATATTTATATATTTCAACAGTCCTCACGTCCACTTCCATTCGTCTTCCCCGTGTCCAAGTCCTGAACCACACAGTGAGATGGAAAAAAGGTTACATTACACTTCAAGCATTTTGTAATGTGACTGACAGAAAAGAGGTAATTGGTAAACTTTGGGACATGAAGAACAGAGAATAAGGTAAGATTAGGAGAGACAGAAACAGTGCCCTTCCCCGTAATGGAGGTGAAGGTGCCATCAGCCACTCTAACCTTATCCTTACCGGAACATAGAATGTATGAAGAAAAATCAGATGCCATACCAGTCATGTGATCAGTGGCTCCTGAACCAATAATCCAGGGTGGCCCACCAGATAATGTGGAAACCTGATGTGTCGAATGAGAGGTACCTGTCAAAGCGAAGTCAGAGGTGGAAATGGAGGAATGTTATGCTAGTAGATATCGAAGAGCATCAATTTCAGCCACGGACAAAGAACTCGGTGGCCTTGAGGAGGCATGACCGGTAGAAGCAGTCTCACGCTCTGTAATATGTGCCATAGATAACCCCCTAAATGGACCAGACCTAGGCCTAGGCCTAGCATTCGCATGAGCAGGAGTTGGAGTAGGGCGACCGTGTAGTTTCTAGTATGTTTCCCTAGTGTGGCGCATACGCCCACAGTGATCACACCTTAACTTGCTCTTGTCATCTTGCTTCCCTCTTTTTGTAGGATTGGGCTTGTTCCATTGTTGTGTGGCAAGAGCAGACTTATCAGACAATGGTACTTCTGGCTCAGGCTTAGTGTATACAGGTGCAGAAATAGTCTTCATTCTACTCTCCTCAGTCTAGAAATATGAAAACACATCTCTAACAGAAGTAGGGGCTGGATACCTGCCTAACACTTGTACCCTAGCATGTTCGTATCTCGGATGCAGACCACCCAAGAACTCATAGATTCGATTTCTTTCTAACAGAACATGAAATGCTTTAACATCAGCTACACATACAGGTATGTAGTCTTGGTAGTGATCTAACTTTTCCCATTTACCACGTAGAGTGTGGTAATATGTGGCAAGAGTTTGGTCTTCCTGCTTGAATCTTGAAATCTATTGTTGGAGTTCATACAGTTTTGCAAAATTACCAACCGATGAATACGTCTCTTCCACATCCGTCCATAGCTCTTTAGCTATTTTCACAAACAGAAACCCTTTGCTGATCTGTGGCTGTGTTGACTGCAACAACCACGCCATAACTAGTGCATTATTTGCATTCCACTCTTTGAATTCAGGATCGCTCTTGGAGGGATATGTGACAGTCCCTTCGATATGGTTAATTATCCTACGACTAGTGATATGCATATGAACAGATTGAGCCCACTCCATATAGTTTGTCTCATCCACTCCATAGCTCTGAGCCAGACATTTTATCAAACAGTTTATGGGTATATAATCCTTAGAAACAAAAGCAGCAACAAAATACGTAGAGAACCACCTCTAACACACAAACTTCAACTAGAAAGATTACCGTCTTCTGAGATGCATAAAAAGCAACCACACAGTCACCACATAAACCCTAGAAAGCGACAAAGTAAACCATACCAGAATCGCGAACGATGAAGAAAAAGCCGTTGTTGCAGAACCTCGCGAACACAAAAAAAAAACCAATCGAGACTACAATAGATAAAAAACAGGTCCAAAAAAAAAAAAAATTTTGGGGCCTCGCCCCAACCCCGAGTAGGGGCTCGCTGCCCCCTGCGACTCCCAATCAACTCACCGCGAAGTTGGATCCATGGTACGTGTGGATGTGATTAACACTACTTCCTTGCAAACAAATCCCATCTTGAAATCTCTTCAAAACCCTTCACACCCACTAGGGGTTACACAAACTTGCCCTAGGGTTTCGACTACTCACCTAGAGCTTTACAAACCATGCTTTGATACCATGTTGACTTTAAGATACAATCAAATTAAGAGTAAGTGATAAAGAAGAAGAAAAAGAGAAGAAAGTGGATGAGAGAAAAAGAGAGAGATGGGGAAAGAGAGAACGAATGAAAGAATACTTTCTTCCTTCCACCACATTCTATTTATAATAACAAGTTTCAGAAATTACACGTAAGCCCCAACATTATATAAGTAATAACAAATAAGCCCCTGACAACAACAACTCTATATTATTTAATTTTCCCACATTTTTTTAGCCACCGAATGGAGCATATGAGAAATTGGAGTTCTTTTTTTGGTGATATTATGGCTAATGACAACAAACACGTGACATTTTACATTCATACGCTGGAAGTTTATTGCTCATTTGTGATAGGATTTTGTGGGCAGGTCGATTTCATGCTTTTGAAGTAGCACATAACCTGGACCGAAATTCAAGTGGGCGCGGTGTGCGACAATTCAAAACTTCTCTTCTCCAGCGACTTGAACAGGTATCCTAATTGATTTCCTGATAAAAGAGCAAATTTGGTGGTGGCGGTGGTGGTGCTTTGGGGGGGGGGGGGGGGGGGGGGGGGGGTGTACACATATATGCACGTGTGTAACCTGTTAAAATACTAAAATGTATTCTGTTTGACAGAAACAGTTTCATGAATGTGAATGCACTTCTCTCAATTTTTATTCTACATATAATTTTTTTTTTTTTTTTTCCTAGTTGGTACTCACACACACACATGCCTCCACTGAGGCTTGAACCCTTGACCTCCCTTTGGGAAGTAGGGGCTTGGTACTGCTAGGTCACGGCCTGTTGGTATTCTACATATCTTTCTAATGTTTTTTATTCCAGCCCCTTCTGGTTTTGACATGATTCCACTAAAGCTTTTGAAATATTAGCATTATATCAGGTAACTGAGGTAAGATTGTGTGATGTTTTTCCAGTTAGTACAAGTACATTATTGTTCATGCCCAATGAAGTCGTCCTTTCACTACATTTTCATATGCCTTTGTTAAGTTCCAAAACCAAGCAACATTTTCACTATAAAAACCTGTTTCTGATTGATTCTATCTGACTCATGGGAGGAAAAATAGTACTGCCCAAAATCTAGTGTTAGGAATGACAATTAGTCTATTGCCCTACCTTTGTTTGAATCAAACTCCATATTTTGAACCTCTACGTCTCATTCTTTAATAGCACCTTCTTATGAATACATTGGTAGTTAATATTTCAATTATTGTCCATTAATACTTTGTTTTATAAATAATTGTGCATTTGAGTTGTTGCAATTTGCATCTTGATTCACTTAGGTATGTATTCTAGATGACTGAATGTCATTGGCACCCTGTATGTCATTGTAAACTTTTGTGAACTACTGATGTAATTCTTTTCCTGAGTAACTGTAGTCTATTTCAAAGCCAAAGTACAAGGCCTTACTTATCTATGTACTTGATATTTTGATTTCATAGTAAACCTTCGCACAGCAAAATAATTCCATTAATTAGGTGAGAAAATTCACTTGAACTTGATTTTTTAAGACCAAGTCCTGATATACTTCTCCACAACTAGCAACTGCCCAGTTTTTTGTGTGAATAATGTATCTGTCTTACCTCATGTCTCAAAAGCTATAATAACGTGGTCTTTCCTATCTGAAAAGTAACAATGTTCATTCCAAGATTTCTTGTAAGACGTGGAGTATCTCTCAACATTACTCTTTCACCTAGTTTTAGATTCTCTGTGTAGTATATCTAAACATTATTCTTTCACCTAGTAGTAGATTCTCTGTTTGCAACCACTCCCTCATTTATTTATGTTTTGCTCAGATGGGTTTTTAGTCTTTCTGTCTATTAACCAATTTTCATACAGTGAGAATACCAGATGATGCATTCTTGAATTTTCTTATTTCCTTTTATTTTTCAAAATTTTTTCAACTACTTACTTATATTATTGGAATACTTTTTTTTTTTTTTGTTTGCTTTGGTAATTCATAGGACGAAGAAGTTACTATTAGAAAACGGAAGGAAAAGAGTGATTTACGTGAACTTAGACGTGTTTATCGTAATTACAAAGACTACATTATCAAACATGGTGGAGAATGTAATTTTGAACATAGGTAATTGATCCCACACTTCTGGATATTATATTTGCTGCATTTCTGCTGAATGTATTAGATATCTTTAGTTTCTGATAAAGAAGTTATGCCTGAATTTTCTCAGAGGGAAGTTGATTAAAGCATGTGCAATTGCTTCTGCTTTGTTTGAAGTATTGAACACAGTTACACATGCAGCTGGCTCTCAGGTTTATCTTGTTTCCTTCCCTATTTCTTTGTAATTTATTTTCCTTCCATTTATTATAGTTATCACGGAAATAGGACTTTTACAACATGTAGCAGATTGTTCTATTACATCCTATATCTTCATTTCTACTCTTTATATCCTTGATAGGCATTTGCAGATAATGACAACAACAATAGAAAATCTGAATTCTACGTGCCATATAACATTCTTCCACTCGATCAAGCAGGTGTTCATGAAGCAATAATGCAACTCCCTGAGGTTTGATGTCACAGAGATAAGCTATTGAGATTTATTCCCCTTTTTTTAGAAAGCCTCTCTGTATGATTTAGTCATTAAGCCCCTAATTGCTGTAGTTGAAAGGCTGGTATGTTTAACTAGCAGCTTTTGAGCTAAGTTATCTGTGCCAATGTTGCAGCATAACCAAACTGTGATGGAATGGATTTAGTTTGTTCACTAATCAATGAAATGCTGCAGGTTAAAGCTGCAGTGGCTGCTGTTCGCAATGTTCGTGGTTTACCTTTTCCTGGAGACTTTCAAAGACGTGTGCCTTCCACGGATTTGTTTGATTGGCTTCAAATTTGCTTTGGGTTTCAGGTATCTCTTCCTAACATTTCTTATTTGTTTTCCTTTTTCTGCACTCTGCGAGTATAGAATTACATCATAAATGGTATTGAGTTTGCAAATTGGGAACTAGTGTTGTAGACTATGTACTGCTCCCTTTCTATCTGTCTATTTTCGGAAATTGAGGATTTTTTTTGCACTCATATTGTTTGTTTCCTGTCAGAAAGGAAATGTTGCTAACCAGAAGGAGCACCTAATTTTACTCCTTGCCAACACCCATATTCGGCAAATCCATAAGCAAACATATATGTCCAAGGTGTGCTTAAATTACATATGTAATCTATTGGTTTGAACTGGTCTGTTATTCAATTTTAAAAGATGTATTATCTTTGTGATCATAGTTAGCAGATGAAGCTGTGGATGAATTGTTGAAGAAGTTTTTTAAAAATTATACAAATTGGTGCAAGTTTTTGGGGAGAAAAAGCAACATTAGGTGAGATGGGTGACTTAATACTTCTATCCTTTGAAAGTGTGAAATCTTGTTATTTCTATCAGATGTTAACAAAATAGTCAATCTTCCGGCCTTCTTTTATTTATTTATTATTTTTAAAATGTTTTATATAGACATAGGAATTTTATCAAAGCCTTTCCATCTTTCATTGCCTTTCTTTCTACTTGTTCTATTGAATGATTGCTATTTGTTGTGGCAGCAAAAACACGCGAACATCGAGATCCAATGAAAGCTTACAAAGCAATCACACACAAACACAAGATATAACGTCCTTTGGCTAATGCCGGAGCGCAAGACTTGTCTAACAAGAAATTTCCTAACAAAATATGACTTTAAAATAGAAACCTAATCAGACTAGGAATTTGAGACACAATTCCTAACACTATTTAATACTATTTAAGAACATTTATTAGGCTTTGAATATTCAAGTGATGTTTGTTCTTCACTATAATATATATATATATATATATATATATATATATATATATATTTCATTTTTTATGCAGGTTACCATATTTGAAGCAGGAGGCCCAACAATATAAAATTTTATATATAGGGCTTTACCTTCTTATATGGGGAGAGGCTGCAAACCTACGGTTCATGCCAGAGTGCCTCTGTTATATATTTCACCATGTAAGTGGGATTCTTTTGCTATTCCCTCATGAATAAAATTATTCTTTTTGTATATTATTAATTCAAAACAAAATTCAGTTTTATCTGAGTAAGTTTTTAGATCGCGCTTTTAAACAAGCATATTGTTGTACAGATGTTTGCCTATTTGGTAAAGAGCAAGCAAGCGAAGGTTCTTTATCTTTAATAATTTGTATGCATCATTTTGGGACAGACTAAATGTATACCAAAACATTCTATCTTATATTTTTATTTAAGAATAACATTATACCCAAAATTACATTTGAAACATGCACATTCAAAACCTAACCTCTGTACTTCCTGACATCATTATCTTTTGGTTCTCCCATTTGTTCTGATCTCCATCTAAGCAACTATTCAAGACTTAAGAGATGCAATATTTAGCTTTAGGGGAAATCTTTAGCCAATTAGGAATTATTATTAATTTTTTGTCGGGGGTGGGGGGAAGGGGGGAAAATTACCCTCAAGCTACTGCCTTCAGTTGATTACTGTTTCTTTCTAGTTCAGACTTCAGAATTGAGGTTAAGATGGCTTATTAAGAGATGCAATATTTAGCTGATTTTTTTATGGTGATAGACTTCAGTTATAATTTTAGGGGAAATCTTTAGCCAATTAGGATTTTTTTTTTTTTTTTTGGTGGGGGGGGGGGCGGGCGGAGAGGGGGGGAAAATTACCCTCAAGCTACTGCCTTTAGTCGATTACTGTTTCTATCTAGTTCAGACTTCAGAATTGAGGTTAAGATGGCTTATAGGATTGAGAAGCTGCAGAGGGATTTTCTTTGATCAGCATGGACATTGAGAGGGAGGACCATAGCTCTGGAGTGGAACTAGTTATGGAGATCTCTTAGTGAGCAGGTTTGCTTTGGTGCTTTGCTATCCTTACCACACATGGTAAGAATTAGAATATTTAAATTCCAATCTAGTTATTAAGGAAAAATGACCGTCGTCATTGGAATTCATTACTCATATTTACTTGATTTTATATTTTATCGATTTTAGTTGTTGAAAAGCGGTAAAATTTCCTTTTAGGAGAATCCTCTAATTAGGGTACTCCAAGTTTTAAAAGAAATTCCCTTGGACAGAGGTAACTCAACTAACTTTTGAGTATCTAATCAAAAGCTAAAATAAAATTTCGGACTCCAAGTTTTTTACAAAATTTGTCCACCAAGTCCTATTGACCTAACACATTCTTGATTCATGATGCACTGTAATGAAAACTGAAATTAAATATCATGCATTCATTTTGAAGGATTCATGGAACTTTTTCCCCTCAATTCTGCAGTTTCCTGTTGTGAACCTGTTTGCGTGATTTGACATAATGATTCATGCAATCTGAATATAAATTGATATCTAATCCTGTTAGCTTATTTAATGATATAATCTTGATTATTGCTTGGCATTAAGTTGATAAACTACAGAAAGATTTTGTCTAGGCAAATACATCAATGCAAAAACTCATGATCAAACCTGTAATAAAGCAAATATTATGGTTTTAACTTTTAATTTAATGCTCTAGTACGCATTTTTCTAATTCCAGCATTTAGATGATAAATAGCTTCATTCATCTTCTGGAGGTAAATTGGGTGTTCTGCAACAAAATCTATTTCTGTTCTCTTTCAGATGGCATATGAATTGCACAGTATGTTGATTGGCGCTGTTAGCATGACAACTAGGGAAAAGGTCATGCCAGCATACAGAGGAGAGTCCGAGTCTTTTCTTAATGAAGTAGTTAGCCCAATATACAGGGTTATACAAGAGGTACTCCAAACTTCAAAATGCGTTCTGTATATCATTTTTGATATAGTTTTTAACTTTTTATTTATTAATTTATTTTATTTTATTTTTCAATCGCCGAAGGAAGCCATGAAAAACAAAAATGGGACAGCTGATCATTCTACATGGAGAAACTATGATGATTTGAACGAGTATTTCTGGTTGGAAAGAAAAATCTGAATGACATGTTTGCTTCATTGCACTTCTGCAAGTCATTATTTAGGAAAGTTGTCTTTGTTTATGATATATCTGCAGGTGTCCTGATTGTTTCCAAATAGGTTGGCCCATGCGTCTGGACCATGATTTCTTCTGTGTACAGCCTTTGAATGACCAAAAGGTCACAAATGCTCGGGGATTGGTTAATACTACTGAGGAAAAGAAGATAGAAGAAAATGAAGATGAAGAAATGGGGATGGATGAAGAAATGGGGGTAAACTTTGCCTGCCAATTTACCTATTCAAGACGTTTCACAGTTACAGTTATAGAGATTAATGGCAATCCAACTTAAATCTCTGATTGCTAGACCCTACATTCTGGACCATAAACATCTAGCTTGTTGAATTAAACATAGAAATTCAATTTTCCGGAAAAAAAGAAGAAAATACTATTACTTCCAGGTTTTTGTACATGCACATCTATCTGTCAACTCTTCAACTCTAGCATGCGCACATACAAAAGCATGCCTCCGTGTCTGTGTATGAACATAAGTATATATGTGTATTGTGTATAGTAGTGCGTGCTGTGTGCATATACACGATCACTCTTAAGGAGCCGTTTCTTTGAGGACACATGCAGGATATCGACACTTTCTGAATAAACCTTGACACATGTCCAATTCATCTGGGATGGGTCCATTTTTATTTATTTATTTAAAAAGAGTTCTTAATTTCGGACGCCCAACCAACACATCCTGGACACTTTCTGAATAAACCTGGACACATAATGTTCGCCATACATTCTATAAATTTATAAACAAAAATATATTCTTTATTGTTGCGTCCTTACTATATCAGTGTCCTACATATTTTAAGATTTTCCTTGAGTATGTCTGTGGCGGTTAGTGTCCATATCCAATGTCGGTCTCCGTGCTTAATAGATTTCTTGCCTTGGAGAGGTGCAACTTTATCTCTCCAGATCTCAATCTCTAAATGTTTTTAATGACCCAAGAAAGAGCCCCAATCCCCCCCCCCCCCCCGCGGGGCCGCCCGAAGCAGGGCGCGGCATGAAAAACAATTATGTATTAGATTATCAAATATTCACATGGAAAGAATAATTGATGGATTGATGTACGCATCACCCTTTTTTCTGGTATGAATGATGATTTCAACAATGAACTCGAAGATAATTGAAACTGAGACTTAAAGTGATTGCATATATGATAAACACATTTTAAAGGACTTATCTTAATTCATTCTATATGAGACACAAAATTTGAGTAATAAGATTTCAGTTGACTCTTTCCATGGGTTGGCACTCATTTGGTATTTTCTGAAATTTTGTTGCTGTCAGTTGCATTTTTTGTTCTTCTTTATTGCACTATGACCAAGACAATCTGCTTTTCCTGCTTATATTTTTGTGATTCTTTGTTCTCATGTTTTTGTTCTCCCATAATGTTTGCTTCCAAAATTCGTTTATTATTCTCATGGTGATTTTCAGGCTACCACAAAAGTAGGGGAGCAGAAATGGTTAGGAAAGACATTTTTTGTGGAAATCCGAACATTTTGGCAGATTTTCAGGAGCTTTGAGAGGATGTGGAGCTTTTTTATTCTTGCCCTTCAGGTGTGACCTAAAATGCTAAATCTGTTTACTTAAAAAATTATTTCTTCTAATAATTTGGCTGGGAAGCTGAACTCTATTTGTTGCTTCATAGGCAATGATAATTATGGCATCTCATGATTTGGAATCTCCCCTGCAAGTATTTGAAGCAACTGTACTTGAGGATATCATGAGCATCTTCATTACATCTGCTATTCTTAAACTCATAGAAGGTGTGGTTATGTTTTGCACTTCAGTAATTTCTCATTATAAAAAAACAAATTTAGTAGAATGTTGTTTCACTACAAATTGCGGCTCTGATTATTTCGTCATGATAATATTATGACTGCAGAACCGGAAATTCTTTTGTTGTGACAGAGGTAATGTAGAAGTTCACAGTTACAAGGAAGGTGTTGTAGACAGTTATCTTTGTGCTACACTAGGAAAGAGTAAGCCTAACAGAGTCCAAGAGAATGATGGTTTTTCTCAAGTGATAATAGCTAGGTCTATTTATTTTGAAGGAACTGCAAGGCTGATTTTTTCATTTGCTCTTGTTGCAACAAATATGAGATCGGAGATCAATATGATTATGAAATAGGGAAGGACACCAAAACAATGGTACACAAAGTAAACAACATTTATGTGATTTAAGCTGACGTCCACTGACCAAAATGATGGGGAAAAATCACTACGAGGACAAAGAGAGCACAAGAAAGTGGCTGTCCAAACTCACAAAACTGTAACCCTCCTTGTAACAATGAGTTCTCTCTCTCAGAAGTCAGAACCCCCAGATTTGGTCCTTGCATTCTTAAATCTAAAATACAAGAGAAATCCATATTACACCGTGCATGAATTGAACAAATGGGTCATGACACCCAAAAAAAAAAACAATCTCTCCTCCTTAGCATGAATTCTATCAAGCCTCATAAAATAACTTAATTCTTTCATGACCTTCCACAAAGGTCCCCCCAAGACTAAGTTGCATAGACTAATTAAGTTAAAGCAGTGCTTAACCCAAATTCAGGAACATACTTTGGTCATCATACCTACTGGATTATTTAGTATAACAATCTTCTTCACTATAATAATCTCTTGAGATATGACCCCGCAGATGAAGCGATATCTGACATAAATCTTTTTCGGTCTTCTCATTATTACTCTATTTTTGGTCAAATATGTTGCGCACTAGCTGTCACAGTGGACAATAGTCACCTTCTACTGTAAGCTAGATTACTAACCAAACCTCTCAACCAAATAGCTTCTTCACTTCCTCAGTCACTGCAATGCACTCTGCCTTTAGACGTTTTATCTCTTTATAAAGTCTGTTTTCTTCTTGAACTGTGACCTGTTATTGTCTTGTTGATGTTCTTGTTAGTACAGCTTACTGTTTAGATATGGTTTTTTAGAAAGTCCTTTTTTCTTCTTGGACTGGTCATCTGTTATTATTTTTCTCTTCTTGGCTGTATATGTGCTTCATAATTGTTTGAAGGCTGTAATTATTAGAATTGGTGATACAATAAATGTTGAAGGTTTTCGAATGTTCATCTGCCACTAAAGCATTCATCTGGAGTAGGTTTGGCTGCTTTACAATAATTTGTTTGCATAGTCATAGACAACTGTAAAAGCCTTCATATGCCAAGAGGTTGTTTCCAGTGTTTGAGGATTGGGTATCCTATTGAATGTGAAGCACTTTTATTGTGATTTTGTTACTTAATTGTGCAAAAAAAAAAAAATGCTTGTCTATTGGATTCAGAAGTTGCTTGGATATAATTTTGATGATTTGCTCCCTTTTTTTTCCTTTGGTTTTTTTTTTTTTTTTTTTTTTTGTTTTAAGAAAATCTTGGTAAATTGTGTGGTGTTTTTAGTAATTTTCTCTACTAGTGATATTGAAGGAACTGCAGTGAGGAAAATAGTGCCATCTATTTTATCACTATTGTGCCTTACATGTGTTTGATACCTTAATTAGTATATTTGTGGCTTGTTGCACTTGATTTGGTGGCAGTTAGCGTAAATAGAAATGCTTGGTAGGTTTTTAATCTTGAAAGCTGAATCTTTAGACTTCTTTCATTACATTATTGCCACCTCCAGTGGCATCAAGGGGCTTCCCAAGTGGCCTTGTCTAAGAAATCGGGAGTTAAGCCCACTGGGGAAGTCCATGCTCCAGTTTTATACTATTATGTGTTATCAAGAAGGGTGTTTCTTGCCAACAGAAATCTGAAAAAATGTTTGGTCTTGCAGCTCTTCTTGACATCGCCTTTACATGGAAGGCTAGATTCACAACAGACTTCTCTCAAATCCTAAAACACGTGCTGAAGGTGGTTGTTGCAATTATATGGACCATCGTTCTTCCTGTTTGTTATGCTAGCTCTAGAAGAAAATATACTTGTTATTCCACACAATATGGGAGCTGGCTTGGAGAATGGTGTTACTCTTCCTACATGGTGGCTGTTGCATTTTACTTGATGACTAATGCAATCAATATGGTTCTATTTTTCGTACCAGTGGTTGGCAGATACATTGAGACATCAAACTGCCATATATGCACTATTTTGTCATGGTGGACACAGGTAAAATTCATTTATACAGGTCATTTCCTTCTGCGATGCTTTTGGATCAACAGTGCTAAAACTTTTTTGTTTCTGGGCCTGGCTCATAATGACTCATAATATGCTCATAAATTATTAAACGCACGCATTGTATTTTTATTTATTTATTGGTAATTTAATGTTCATGCTTTTAACTATCTGCAAAAGGCTCTCTCTATATTCTTCTTGCCTAGGCATGTTTTGCAATCAATAAACAACAATGAACACTCCAGTGCAGAGCAATCAATTATGATCATATGCCAATGATAATCAGTTAAAGTTTTAAAGGCATACTTGAAGCAAACAGAGAGAAATGGAAGTCTTCTTACAGCAGTAAGATAGACTAGAATCACTCCAATCACTGTCGGAGCCTAGGTTTCTAAAGGGAAATCTTGGAAAAACCTGAAGAGAAGTTAATAATCTGATAATATCTCAAAATTATATTGATTAACACTTGTTACAGAAGAGAGAGGGCTGTACCTTATATAACTTCTAATGACTCTTGATTTCTCTTGGATGACTTTAGAATATCCACATAGCATTAATAACATTTTACCACTTCCCTAAGGGTCCGTTTGGTTAGATAGAAATTTTTGATGGATAGTGAAAGTGAAAGAAAGTAAAGGAAAGGAAAAGAAATTCAAGTTTCCGTCATGTATTTGGTTAGTAAGAAAAATTTTTCAAAAAAAATGTGAGAAAATATTTGTTGGAAATTGTTTCTCAAATTCCTATTCTAATTAGGATTCTATTTTAGAGTCGTATTCTATTAGGTAATTTCTTATTTGGCAAGTCTTGGCCTCTAAGGAATTGTAATCCTTGTCCAACAAGGAATTATGTTTGTAACTCTATAAATAGGTACATATGTTGTGGGTTGAGACTTAAGAGATTGAGGGAGGGAGAGAGACTCTAGAATTCGTACAGAAACAGAGTGAGGGGCTGAAATCTTGTAATCTCCGATTTTACACATAGTGAAAACTTTCGTCGGATCCCAACCGTGGACGTAAGCTGTTGCCGAACTACGTATAAATCTGTGTTCTTTGTGTGGCGTGTTTACTTTTCTGTCGTGATTCTTGATTCAATTTGGGTTTGTTGCGTTTGTCATAACAAACTGGTATCAGAGCTTTCGGTTCGAAGTAGGAATGTTGTCCAAGTTTCTGGAAATCGAGAAGTTTAACGGCAGAAACGATTTCAACCTGTGGCGGGTTAGGATGCAGGCTTTGTTGGTTCAACAAGGGTTATCCAAGGCGCTAAAGGAGAAGGATGCACTGCCAGAAAAGATCAAGGACAAAGATGAGGTTATGGAGAAAGCACACAGTACGATTTTGTTGTGCTTAAGTAATGAGGTTCTGCTAGAGGCTGCTGGAGAGACTACGGCGGATGGGCTGTGGCAGAAGTTAAAGTCCCGGTATATGACGAAATCTCTTGCGAATCGCTTGTAACTAAAGAAGTGGTTGTTCACTCTTTAGATGCACGAAGGGTCGTCTCTGAAAGACCATTTTGACGAGGTAAATAGTATCATCATGGATTTGAATAATATTGATGTTAAGATAGAGGATGAAGATCAGGCTATTATTCTGTTGTGTTCTCTACCACCCTCGTATGAGAACTTTGTCGATATAATGATGTATGGCAGAACTGTCTTGTCCATGGAAGACGTGAAGGCAACTTTAAATTCTAAGGAGTTGGAGAAAAGGGTGTTTAAGGGCAATATAGAAAGTTCGGCAGAGGGTTTATTTGTTAGACGGATAACGAATCAGAAAGGAGGGCTTAGCAGCAAAGGTTGTTCTAAGTCTAAGAACAAAACGAAGGTGTTAAGATGCTTCATCTGTCACAAGGAAGGGCACTTCAAAAAGGATTGTCCCGAGCATAAAAAGGGAAAGGTAAAATCCTCTGAAATTGAAAGTGTGGCTATTGCAGAGGGTAATGATTCAAATGGTAGTAATGTTCTCACAATTTCAGTCGGTAGCTCTTGCGATGAGTGGATTCTTGATTCGGGTTGCTCGTTTCATGCTTGTCCAAACAGGGACTGGTTTACCTCTTATCGATCTATTGATGGAGGGGAAGTTCTGATGGGGAATGATGCGGCGTGCAAGGTTGTAGGTATCGATATAGTTCAAATCAAGATGTATGATGGCATAGTGAGAACATTGACTGATGTCAGGCATGTACCAGAACTGAGAAAGAATTTGATTTCCCTGGGTACGCTGGATTCCATCGAGTGCACTTATAAGGCTGGAGGTGGAGTCATTCGGGTTTCCAAGGGTGCTCTTGTGGTGATGAAGGGACTGAAGAAGCATGGTTTATATGCTCTGTAGGGTAGCACAATCACGGGTTCAGTTGTTGTATTGTCCTCGGATCCGGATTCAGATACTACCAGATTGTGGCATATGTGGCTTGGGCATATAAGTGAAAGGGGGATGGATGTTCTGAGTAAGCAGGGTTTGCTTGGTGGTCAGAAAATTGGGAAGTTGGATTTCTGTGAGCATTGTGTCTTCGGGAAGCAGTGCAGAGTGAAGTTCAATACAAGAATTCACATAACCAAGGGTACAGTGGATTATATTCATTCTGATCTTTGGGGTCCCTCTCAGGTTACTTCACATGGTGGTGGTAGATATATAATGACGCTGATTGATGACTTTTCTCGGAAAGTTTGGGTTTATATTATGAAGCACAAAAATGAGGCTTTTGTTACATTCAAGCAGTGGAAGACCTTGATTGAGAAATAGAAAGGAAAACAGGTCAAGCGCTTGAGGACAGACAATGGCTTGGAATTTTGTGATGGGGAATTTAATGAGTTCTGCAAGACTCACGGGATTGTGAGACACCATACAGTGAGGAAGACTCCGTAGCAGAATGGAGTTACAGAATGGATGAACTGAATGCTATAGGAGAGGGCACAGTGTATGTTGTCCAATGCAAGGCTAGACGAAGCGTTTTGGGCTGAAGCTGTTTCTACAGCTAGTTACTTGGTGAATTGGTCTCCATCGACTGTAAGACTCCAGAGGAGGTATGGTCTGGTTCTCCTGCAAGTTACAGTAATCTGAGAATATTTGGGTGTCCAGCGTATACTCATGTGAATGAGGGGAAGCTTGATCTGAGGGCTAAGAAATGCATATTTCTTGGTTATCAACCTAGGGTTAAGGGATACAGATTATGGTGCCCAGAGACTTCGGGAAAGAAGATACTTGTTAGCAAGGATGTGACCTTTCATAAGTCTGCGATGCTTACTCCGCAGAAGGAACATTTCACATGCAGTTGGTGAGCAGGTGGAGCATGTAAAGGTTCAGTTAGAGGATAGTCCTGTTCGGTCAACTCACATGCATGTGCAATTTCGGGCTGAGGGAGATGCACATTTGCAGCAGTATAGTGTGGCTAGAGACAGGCCTAAGAGGGATATTAGGCCATCTGAGAAGTATAGGTTTTCACATGCTGATTCAGTTGCTTATTCACTTAGTTTGGCAAAGGATATTGATGAGCCACGTTCTTATCACGAGGCCATCACAGGTGGAGAGTTAGCAGAGTGGTCTGTTGCTATGAGTGAGGAGATTGAGTCTTTTCATAAGAACCAGACTTGAGAGCTAGTTAAAAAGCTTAAGGGCCAGAAGATTGTGGGCTGTAAATGGGTCTTCAAGAAAAAAGAAGGAATTCCAGGGGTGGAAGATGCAAGGTGCAAGGCACGCTTGGTGGGGGAAGGGCTATACACAGAGGGAAGGGATGGACTTCAATAAAATGTTTTCTCCTATGGTGAAATATAGCTCAATCCGGGTGTTACTTGCTATGGTTGCTCTGTATGACTTGGAGCTTGAGGAGTTTGATGTCAAGACTGCTTTCTTGCATGGTAAGTTGGAAGAGCAAATTTATATGCATCAGCCTGAGGGGTTTGAGATTCTGGGAAAGGAAGATCATGTTTGCCGGTTGAAACAATTTCCTAGACAGTGGTACAAGCGATTTGACACATTTATGGTTGGCAATGGCTACTGTAGGAGTAAGTTTGACAATTGTGTGTATCACAGGAAGCTCTCAGATGGTTCCTATTTGTACTTGTTGCTGTATGTTGATGACATGTTGATAGCTTGCAAGAACATGTCTAAAATCAACATGTTGAAGGCTCAACTTAGTGGTGAATTTGAGATGAAGGATCTTGGTGCTGCAAAGAAGATATTAGGAATGGAAATTCACAAGGACAGAGGAGCGGGCAGATTGTATTTGTCACAGAAGAAATACATTGAGAAGGTGCTGGAACGCTTCGGTATGCAGGCATCAAAACCTGTGAATACTCCATTGGCTGCCCATTTTAGACTTTTAGCACGATTGTCACCACAGATCGAGGAGGAGGTGGAACACTTGTCTCGTGTTCCTTATGCTAGTGTAGTTGGTAGCCTTATGTATGCTATGATGTGCATTAGGCCAAACATTTCACATGCAGTTAGTGTAGTGAACAGATACATGGATAGACCTGGGAAGGTCCATTGGCAGGCTGTAAAGTGGATATTACGATACTTGCGAGGCACTGCAGATGTTGGGTTAGTCTATGACAAAGGCAGCGACACATGTGGGAGTGGATATGTTGATTCTGATTATGCTAGAGATCTTGAAAGGAGAAGGTCCTTGACAGGGTATGTTTTCACTCTTTGTGGGAGTGTGATCAGTTGGAAGGCGACTTTGCAGCACGTAGTTGCATTGTCTACTACAGAGGCTGAGTACATGGCAACTACAGAGGCGGTGAAGGAAGCTATATGGTTGAAAGGCTTGGTTGGTGAGTTGGGCTTGCAGCAGGATGATTTGACTGTGTTTTGCGACAGCCAGAGTGCCATACATTTGATTAAAAATCAGATGCTCCATGAGAGGACCAAGCACATTGATGTCAGGTTTCACTTCCTTAGAGATGTGGTTGCACAGGGTGTTATTGCAGTGAGGAGAATTGGGACAACAGAGAATCCGGCAGATATGATGACTAAGGTCATTCTTACACTCAAGTTCAGACACTGTCTGGACTTGATTGGTATATGCAGTTGCTGAGGCCCTTAGGGGCATTTGGAGGCGGCGAAAGAAATAACTGGATGAAATTTGAGCCAAGGTGGAGATTGTTGGAAATTGTGTCTCAAATTCCTATTCTAATTAGGATTCTATTTTAGAGTTGTATTCTAGTAGGTAATTTCTTATTTGGCAAGTCTTGGCCTCTAAGGGATTGTAATCCTTGTCTAAGAAGGAATTATGTTTGTAACTCTATAAATTGGTACATATGTTGTGGGTTCAGACTTAAGAGATTGTGGGAGAGAGACACTAGAATTCATACAGAAACAGAGTGAGGGGATGAACTCTTGTAATCTCCGATTTTACACATAGTGAAAACTTTCGCCAGATCCTAATCGCGGATGTAGGCTGTTGCCGAACCACGTATAAATCTTTGTGTTCTTTGTGTGGCGTGTTTACTTTTCTAGTTGTGATTCTTGATTCAATTTGGGTTCGTTGCGTTTGTCATAACAATATTGTTTTGTGAGTTTGGAAAGAATGAAAGTGAAAAGAAAGTGATTGTAGTTTCCAAAACTACCCTTTTAATTATAAGATTACTTTGTACTCTTTTGAGACACTATCATATCTCCTGAATTATGAACAAAAATGAAATTTCAAGTTCAAAGATGAAACAATGAACAGTATAGTATTTGTCTTCTGATGTTTAATAATTAGATATATGTGATTATAGGTGTAAGTTTAATTAATAAAAAATTTTGATCCAAAAAATCTTAAGGATAAAAGGTTGAAGTTAATATATATACTTTTAGTCATAGAAAAAAAAAAGAAAAAAAGAAAAAAAAGTTTAGTCTAATCGAAATAAAGTACTTAGAACTAAATTAGTTTGGTACATCTAATATACCTTACGTCCTAATTCCTAAAGTCACGAGAAGTCTATGTATAAAAAAAATACATGTATGAATTAAATTATAATTTCAAAACTTGTATACTTAGAGACACTAATTTAGTTTTTCACCTAACACTCTGTTACTAAATACTCTGATATATATATATAACTATGGCGACCTTGTGGGCGGGTATGTGTGAGCAAGGGCGGATCCAAGGGTGGGCGAAGCTGGGCTTCAGCCCACCCAAAAAAAAAAAAAATTTTTTTTTACCATACTACTTTAAGCCCAGCCCAAAAAAAAAAAAAAAAAAAATAGTAATGGTAGCCCAGTCCAAAGTTAGTCTAGTCCAAAATTAGCCCACCTCATTCAAAAAGGCTGGGTTCGCCCTTGTGTGTGAGCGTGTGTAGGTGGCACTAATAGGCTACCACACTAGGTAAGCTACTGGTGCACAATCCCACATCGCCTGGGTGTGGAAGAGGCAAGTGATATATGTAGATTCAACAACCTTCTATGACACAACACGTTTTAAAGCCATGATGGCCATGAACCTACCAGAACTCTGGAGTTAAGCGTGCTTAACCTAGAGTGTTTCCAGGATGGGTGACCCCTTGGGAAGTCTCTGGTATAGGGGAGCCAAAACGGACAATATTGTGTCTAGATAGGGTGGGGGTTGTTACAAGTGGTATCAGAGCCTGACCCACCAGCCGGAAGTGTGGCCAACGAGGACGATGGCCCCAAATGGGGGGTGATTGTGGTGACCTTATGGGCGGGTGTGTGTGAGCGTGTGCAGGTGGCACCAGTAGGCTACCACACTGGGTGAGTTACAGGTGCACAATCCCACATCGCCTGGGTGTGGAAGGGGCAAGTGCTATATGTAGATTCAACACCCTTCTATGACACAACGCGTTTTAAAGCCGTGATGGCTGTGAACATACCAGAACTCCGGAGTTAAGAGTGCTTAACCTGGAGTAGTACCAAGATGGGTGACCCCTTGGGAAGTCTCTGGTCCGGGGGAGCCAAAAGCGACAATATTGTCTTTGGATATGGTTGGGGTCGTTACAATAACTCTCAATCATTATTAATTATGGAAGGAAAAAAATACAATAAAAATTTAATTTTTTATGCACATATAAAACTATATACAATTAAATTAGTATTACATTATCTTAGTAGTTCCACACCTTGTTATTAACTTTTTATAGAAACAAGGATGAACTTTGACCTCATTAAACAACAAGATGCTTTTCAAGGCACCATTCTTTATTTGCATCAATACTTCAACAAAATATATTTATAAGTTGATAATTACTAGAGGAGGGCATTCTGTGCCCACATGTTATTGCTATACTCATAATGCCGCTACAAATAGTCATAGGCATTACATGTTCTAAACGTTATCTTTTGCCTAAAGCAAAGTTTATGGTGAAGCCTTATTTGTGCAATAAATATAAAGTGGATGTATGAAGTTATTGAAGATGTGATAGATTCATATTCAGCGCGGCTTCTATTCTTTACAACATGCTTACATCTATACACATTGAATTGCTTGGTCATGGTGGAATGGTAGTACAAACTTGGACTACAGAGTGTTCTAGCCTGGATTTGAGTTTAAGAGCAGTCACTTGGTGCCAATATTGCTAAGGGTTATGTATCTCTCCAATCCATCCCTTATGGAACGCTGTATTGGCTGGATCAGCACTGGATAATGGGGTCTTCGGTTTTTAGTTTACGAATTATTAAATGATGTAGCTACACGAGGTCCATTCTTTTTGCTAGATGTACTCAACTTCAATGTACTATAATTACCTTCACTAAAAGTGTAAAGGGCTGCATGGAAAAAGCACCTGTCATAGAATTGCATGCTTTGGATCAGGTTAAGTACATGCTGCAGCTGATAAAAAAAGGGCTTCTAATAATTCAACTCTACTTAGGAAAAAGCTTTATTATTTTAATCAGCATTGGCAATGATAATATTGGTTCCACTTGGTTATCATAATGCAAAGGTCTGTAGAAACCACACTGGGAAAAAGTTAATGTGAAATCTCAGTGATCAGAACAATGCTATTTGTCTTTAAAGGTCTAAAAGCAGGTGCAAGAAGGATGTTGTAGCCCAATCCTTATCTTCTTTACCATCAAGTTATGCGAAGCTCACTTGGATCTTTCATAGCTAAATTCTCGAATGAAATCTTAGTTCATATTTCCTTTAAGGTTGTATTCTGCTGGTTCAGTTTTCTGAGTTTTCTTGACTTCAATTGAGCTGTCCGCATATCTTGAATTTTCATATTTTGTAGGCATTGTCTGTAATACTTAGGACATGGGTCTTTTGTTTGTAGATGTGCTTAGTTTTGTTAATTTGTGGTCAGCTAGAGTTTTAGGTCCCATTTGACATGTCAAAATTTTCTGAAGTTTCCTAATTTTGAAGTGCCTCATCTTATTATTTCAAGGTTGTCAACTAGCAAGCTGTATAGCCATGCACATTCTACAAAATGTTCCAACAGCAGTGAAATACTCCAGGATAATGTAATGCAGCCCTAGTACCAGATGTGATGCCCAAGCAATTACATGGGTGGTTACTAGATTCTACTTCTTTTATTTCCTATCGGTATTGAATTTGCTTATAAAATCACAATAGGTCATTATGAGTCCTACATGTAATCTAATATTCTACTTCCACAACTCTATCCTCTCCCTTACTTTAGGCAATTCAACATCTCAAACTTTGAAATCATTGTTGTCTTGAAATTCTACTTCTTCAGGTTGTACAGCTTACAAAATCTAGACACTTTAGTACCCTCTTCTGCCTTCACAAATTCTAAAGCCATAGTCTGTCTTAAATTATCACCCAATATCCAATTAATAGTAAACAAAACTTTTTTACTTTTAGTTATGTCTTACACCATTATGGGAGTAAGGTATGGGTATGAAAAAGAAAACCTTGATATTTAGTACTTGGGAATTTCAAATTGTGCAGAGTACTTGTGTTAGAAATGAAGAGACATGGCCATATGTATGGAATCTGTTAGTCACAAACTTGTTGATGCATACTGAAAAGGAATGTCCAATCAAGAATATGATGGCCACGACTGAGTACTTGACCCCACGGAACATTGGTTCTAATCCCATCTGTCATTGTAACTCTTGAGGATTGGGTTATTGGAAAGCCTGTTGGATTTCTTTGCTATCTCTAGAAGGCAGAAAATTGATTTCTATACAATAGTTCTCTCTCTTTTCTTTAGTCATCTGAGACTCCATCAAGTAATTTGAATGACAAAGTATATGTTATTACTTTCTAGAGACGTGTTTTATTGACATCTGAATTGAAATAATGGGGCACTTATGATTTTTCAGATGATTCTTTATTAGTTTATAATCGATAAAAGTCTCTCTTTTAGGTTCCCAACATTCATCTTCTAATATTTTTGCTGGACTGTGTCGTATTTTGTCATGGATATAAGATGCTTATAGTTGTGACTTATTGTTGATTCTGAACTATTTAAATTTTCCTTCTAAATTTTGTTGCACCATGTAGCCCAGGTTATTTGTTGGACGAGGTATGCAAGAAAGTCAAGCCTCCCTTTTGAAGTATTTCCTTGTCCCTGTTATAAAAGCTTTTTTGGTCCATTTTCCTGTTTTGTTTTCTGGATCCCTTCTTGAGGTCTGTCCTTGTGTTATTTCAGGTACACACTGTTTTGGGTGCTGTTATTGCTAAGCAAGTTCTCATTTAGCTACAACTTTGAGGTGAGTAATTATGTTATAGCTTATACTTCCGCTACAACTTACAATGTTCACACTAGGTATTACCTTTTGGCGTCTGGATCCTCTGCTGTAGCTGGTCCCTGTTGTAGAGATTTTCAAAGCACTTAAATTGGGTTTCAACACATTTGTTCTAGATTTCAACATCAAAACCATTACATTTAAGTGCATTGAAAAACTCTATGGCACGCTACATCCGGGACACGCTACAGCAGAGGATCCAGACCCTACCTTTTGCCCTTGTCACAATGGCCATATCAACTAGGGCATTCGGTATCATGTAACTGTACTCTGATTAATCACCCAGAATCATAAATTGCACTTTTTTTCTGTTTTCTTAGAACCTTATACAACAGTTAATTTCTTTTCTGTTTTCCCACAATTTAAGGGTGACCAATATTTGGGTGTTAGATCTCACTTGATAAATAGTCCTTACTTCCATAATGAAATGACCTGGTTGTATAGTTGCTGGTAACAGCATTATGGTCACATGAACTTATCCTTTGGTTTCTAATGTTTTCTGAAGATTCTCTACTCTGATGCTGTAATGAATATTCATTTGAAGGTTCCAAGGTTAACTCTGTGAGGTTGATAATAGAAGAAGAGAAGAAGAAACATTTCAGAGGAATATAATGAGCATAGAATTAATATAAACACGGTCCTTAACTGTGAACTTTTAACTACACGATGTAATAATTAGCAAATTAGATGGGCTTATAAGTTATAACACCCTGGAATAATATATCATCTCTCTAATGGTGATAATGTGAGGGATTGTGCATGCCTAAGCTGACTTGTAGACTTTTGGTGCCATTAAAAAAAAAAAAAATCTTGCAGATAAAGCCACTTATAGCACCAACAAGACAAATCATGAAAATTGGGGTAAAAAATTACGACTGGCATGAGCTCTTCCCTAAAGGTAATATTGGCTCTTTTTATTATTATTTGCTTATAGAATTGGATTAGTGCTTTATTGTTGTTCATTTGTCTAACATTAAGAGTTACTACCAATTCAGTCAAGAGCAATGCTGGTGCAATCGCAGCTGTTTGGGCTCCCATAATACTTGTGAGTTTCTAGATGTCCTAATCAGTTCCTTGTGACTGAGCATTCAATGTATGAACTGGACTGGTGCTTATTTTAATATAGTAAAGACCTACTTTAACACATCTTGAAAATATGAATCAAGTTCTCTGATCAATTAAAATTTCTGTTTTGCAAAGAGTTCATGCATGACATAATGGTTTGCTTTTGTTTCAGGTATATTTCATGGACACACAAATTTGGTATTCTGTTTTCTGTTCAATATTTGGTGGAGTTTATGGGATTTTGCATCATCTTGGTGAGGTAAGATGTCTTATTCTTCTCAAATTAATATGCTTGCAGTCTGACCTCTATTGTCCTTGTAGATTCGGACATTAGGCATGCTGAGAAGTAGATTCCAGTCCTTGCCATCTGCATTTCATACGTGCCTTATCCCACCCCCATCCCGAAATGATCAAAACAGAAATTGGAAAGGTTTTTTACACCATAGATTTCAGAAGGTATGAGGTTTTCAACTCTATGATGCGTGGCTAGATTGTTGGAAAGATTTTGTGTGCTGTTTTTGCCTGATTATGGAATTATCTTGTCTCAGGTGTCAGATAATGGAAAGAATAATGTTGTTAAGTTTGTTCTGGTATGGAATCAAATTATCAGTGGTTTCCGAGAGGAGGACTTGATAAGCAACAGGTTGATTATACTTTAATAAAGTTTTCGTCCATTACAATACCTTAACCGATTCTTTTTTTTTTTTTTTTTCTCAAAAACAGGGAGATGGATTTGATGAAAATACCTTTATCATCAGAGTTATTATCTGGTGTAGTTCAATGGCCTGTTTTCCTTCTATCAAATAAGGTAATAGTGCTCATATTCAATTTTCTTTTTCGTTTTTTTTTTTGGCATCTATGTTCCCATATCGTTGATCTCAACACTTATTTTCCTATTCTTACCAGTTTTCAACAGCTTTGAGCATTTCAAGAGATTATGTTGGGAAGGATGCAAATCTTATTAGAAAGATTAGAAAAGATTATTACATGTACTGCGCTGTAAAAGAGGGCTATGAATTACTTAAGTACGTCCTTGACATTTTACTTGTGGGTGATCTAGAGAGAAGGTAGAGTTACTTCTTCGTTTGTTGACATTTACTCTCTTCTATGTTTGTTGGGCTTAAATATGTTTCTGGACATTTTAGCGAGTGATATATAAAAGTTGCAATTTTTTTCTTCTATTGCTAGACCATTTTCTGAAGACTTTTCTGCATTCATTTCACTTTGTCTCCATCACCTTGTTCCCATTGTCGCTTGCTTCTCAGGATTGTTTTTCGCATTTTTGATGAGATTGAGGAAAGCTTTAATAGATCAAGCCTTCTTGAGGAGTTCAAGATGATCGAGCTACCTGCTCTACAGGCTAAATGTGTCAGTTTAGTAGAACTTCTGGTATCTGTTTAACTTCAAAACTTTAGTTTTAGTTGAATATGTGCTTCGTTTTCTCTGTTTCTTTGAGCCTTAAAAAATTTGTTATTTAAGGTTGAAGGAAATGAAGAGAACTATTGTAAAGTTGTGGAAGTACTTCAAGATACATTTGAGCTTGTAACCAATGACATGATGCTAAATAGTTCCAGGTTCAGTGCAGTCAGTTCTTTAATTTTATCTGATTAATTTAAAATATTCACCGTACTGAAATTCATTTTCAATGCACACAGAATACTGGATTTTCTTTACTCTTTCCAACAGAGAGAAGAAGATTCAACTGAATTTTTCAGTAACATTGAACCACAATTGTTTGCATCGAAGGAATCTATCCATTTCCCACTGCCAGATAGTGGCCCTCTGAATGAAAAGGTGATTTTGTTACTCCTTTTCTGTGATATCTGTGTTTGTTCCTATTTAAATTTGTCAACAACAGGGCTTCATCCTTCTATTTGGGAAAATCAGGAATCTTGTTTTGGCTTTGGCAGTCATTTCTGTGACATGAGTGTCTTCGATCAGTAATACATGGATGTATATATCTTACATATAATTATATGTATAAACACAAATAAACGTATGTGCATGTATAATAACATGAATATGATACATATGATATAACAAAAATGCTTCAACCTTTGGATGCCAGATCAAGCGTTTCCTTTTGCTGCTTACTGTCAAAGATAAAGCAATGGATGTACCAGCAAATTTAGAGGCTCGGAGGCGGATTTTGTTTTTCGCTACTTCTCTCTTTATGGATATGCCTAATGCTCCTAAAGTGCGCAATATGTTGTCATTCAGGTCAGGTCGTGTTGTTTTGTCCGTTTTGTGTTTCTTGGCAATTTGTGGTTATATTTGCTCTGTTTTCAGTTTTTCCATTTATGCACCAAACTTTCAAGTTCGCATAATGTAAAAGAAAAAAGTGATCATATAGTTACTTATTAACAGGAATGACTCTGTTGAGATACATAATAAAATGAAACAAACTTAATTAAAGCAACACAACGTAGAATAGTGCTATTATCGTCATCAGTCTTGTGCTACAATTGTCTGAAACAGTGCCACTACTGTAATATCCTAGAGTTTATTAAGAATGTCTCTCTCTCTCTCTTCTTTCAATCTCTTTCTGCACCCTAGAATGATACAACTGTACCTTCACTAGCTGTACCTGATCGGTAGTCTAATGACAAAAGATTTATTTTTAAACATTGAAAAGTGGCATATATAACATAAAATAAATCATCATTTTCTTCAGTATCTACGTTTTGGTTAAACCCTTAATAGAAGATTTAAGAGGAATTTGGTAACTTTCTATTTATTTAGTTTGTTTGGGAATAAGAAGGGAAAGAGGTGGTTCAAGAAAAGGTATAAATACAAATAATTTTACAATTTACAAATAATCCAAAAAGTAGTTTTGTGAATAACTCTTTTAGTGCACCTTGTTTTTTGAATACAAGGTTCCTGTTCCTCTTCTCTGGTGTCTCCAAGGCACTTGAGAGTTGAGTCACCTTGTTCCTATTTCTTGACCTAGGATAACCATTGACTGGCTGCAAGTTAGACAGAAACAAGGTACCTAGTCTCACAAGATAGCCTCAACGTAAGAAGAAGCAGTGGCCGAACCTATCTCTCTTTGTAGTCAAGTAATTGTTCAAGTGAACAAGTATGAATGGAATTTTTGATGAGATAATTGACCCCCTACTCTCTTTGTGTAACAACCCTCATCCTATCCAGACACAATATTGTCCCCTTTTGGCTCCCCAAACCAGAGACTTCCCAGGAGGTCACCCATCCTAGTACTACTCCAGGTTAAGCACGCTTAACTCCGGAGTTCTGATAGGTTCACGGCCATCACGGCTTTAAAACACATTGTCCAATAGAAGGGTATTGAACCTTACATGTAGCACTTCACTCTTCCACACCCAGGCGATGTGGGAATTGTGAGCACACGTAGCTCGCACCAGAGCCTTGCCTTTCACTGGCCTGCTTCCGCCCACTGAGCCTCACACTTTGTTCACCTTTTATTTAATATGACCATGTGACCAACGGGCCAGTGGCCTAGCGGTATCAACCTCTTACTTCCTAAAAGGGAGGTCAGAGGTTCAAGTCTCAGAAGAGACAAGCGTGTGTTAGTACCAACTAGGAAAAGAAAAAAAATGACCATGTGAAACTAAGTTATTGTAATCTCGTGATTCATGAAAACAGATGGCCCTGACAAAAATTGCTTTCCGATGGCAAAGGATTATTCAAATGATTTTATCACATGAGCGACAAAATCCAATTTGTTCAATGAAAGCACTGTTGCTGATTTAGAAACATTTCTTCACCTACTAGTGGGATGTCGATTTTGCCTGATCTCAGGTCCCTGCCCTGCCCTGATCCACCCGACCCCTCCCCTTCCCTAAAAGGACAAGTTCTGGGTGCAATTAAATGTGGTAGGGGCAGGATGGGAGAAAGTATTAAAATGCAATCAGGACAAGGAGCAGGTGGAAATAAGCAAAACCCGTTCTGTCCGGATTTTGCATGTTCTGCTAACAATTCATGTATTTATCATGCATCTTCATGTACATTCAGCCTCTATCAAAAGTCTAAGATAAAGGTAGGAAAGATCGTTTATAAAAACAACAACCAGCCTTCTCTCCGAGAATCATCTACTGTGAAATAGAATGTGTGTGCAACATGTACAAATAATAGATATATATCGAAGAGTTGAATAGTCATGTTAAATATTTAGAAGCTGGGTCACGAGTTGATTCACAATATATGATTAAATGCTAACTGTAAATCTTGGCTCAGTTTCAGAATGTTTTATTATTCCCTGTCATGTGCCGTCAGAGGTTTGGGACAGGGACCGGGAACGGTATCAATCTCCCGAGTTGGGTCGGGAAAGGAGTACATATGAACCCTTATTGCGCATGCACTGCTCATGGCTATTAGTGGTTATCGATATAGATATCATGTCTTACAATTCATGTACAAGAAAATGAATTAACACTTGGAAGAGAAGCGACCTCTGCTTTGTCTTTGTATCAAACTAGTTTGTCTTTGTCACCAGGTAACCAGGCCACCTAATTTTGACTGCAAAGACGCCAGAAATATATTTAACACCTGAATCATGAAATTAAGAAGTTGAGTCCTGACTTTATAGTTAGACATTGTCTCTTGCAGTTTTTAAGTAAATAGTGGAGATTAAACACGAAAATGATAAAGTATCATGGATACTCAAAATGATAAATTTTTGCATAATACAAAAACATTCTCTCTTTTTTCTTTCGAGCAGTCCTTTTTCTGATAAGTAAATAATCAAAGATGATGCGTTAAAGGGTGCTGAAGGTTGCAACTTTGTATTTGCAACTTAGTACAACAGACAAAAGGAAACAAGAAAACAAATCTACAAAGGAAGGAGTGCCATGTCCCAAATTTATCTGATTGCCTTCCCTACCTAATAGAAAGTCAAGATCCAACATGGAAACACTGATAGGAAACTGCCAATAAGGAACATGAGAGAATAACTGATAAAACAAGAAAGAAAAATATGCTAACATTCACCAGCTGGGAAGGAATAGATTTTCTGTAGAACTAGAAACAGTGTTAGTGATGCTGTCAATGAAATTAAAACATAAAAGGGTTCAATAGGATACAAATACAGACTTTATTATTAGAATACACATGAAAGCTTGATCTAAATTAAGTCCATTTCTTTTGAAATTTATTACAATATTTGATGTATTTTAAGCGATTCAGCGTGTCAAATAGACCACATTACTAATTTAAAGTGCATAGCTTCATGATTGTTCTTCTTAATCTTTGAAATTTTCACTTCTCTCCTTCAATTCTTGTCCAGTTTTCAACTTCTATTGGTGATGTTGTGTTACCACATTTTCAACTTCTATAATTGAAACTTAATATGGTGATGTTATATTACCACATCAAATACAGTTCCTTATGCAAGTCTGGAGTCACCAGAACCATTGCCAAAGTTTATATTGTATATATTTGTTTGTGCGAGTTTCTTCATCTCGCCATATGAATGCTGATAGTTACCATGAAGAAGATTCCTAAAGTAATTATCTGAAATCATGTGGGAAATAGATAAATACTAACAATTTATACCAGCATCAAATTACACGACACTGATGCAATTCAATTATGCTAATAGAGAGATGAACCTAAGCCAATAGCTTGTTGCTGATCCAGTAATTCTCTTTTGGATGCAGTGTTTTGACTCCACACTACATGGAAGAAGTTACATTCTCAACAAAGGAGCTTCATTCAAGCCAAGAAGGGGTTTCCATCGGCTTTTATATGCAGAAGATATATCCAGGTTTCTAAAATTTAGAACATCTTTAAATTTTCAAAAAGCATTTTTTGTTCATCCATTTAGATTTAAATGTGCACACATAACTGATTCCCTCACAAATTTATTTTTTTTTCTCTCAGATGAGTGGAAAAACTTTTTGGAACGCATGGGGAGTGAATATTCCGATGAATTAAATGTGGAATTGGAGGAAGAGTTTAGAAATTGGACTTCTTTCAGGGGGCAAACTCTGAGCAGAACAGGTGAAAGAAAAAATAATAATAATAAGATTCTTCTTGAGATTATAGTTTTTTTTTCTTTTTTTTTAAAGAAGTATCTGATAATATTGTTATGGTGAATATAACCCCTCCACTTTTATTTTATGATGTTATACCAGTTCGAGGAATGATGTACTACAGAAAAGCCTTAAAGTTACAAGCTTTTCTTGACATGGCTGAAGACGAAGGTATGTTGCATGAATGCATAATTTGGGATATAATACAATAGTATTCAACTTTCTCTTTTGAAAATGCATATTTGATGCTACTGTTATTAGAGTGAGAGTCCAATCAAAGGCCCATTTAAAAGGCTGGAGATGTTTGATAAGGACTGGAATCACTATAATCCTTTTTCAAATGACCTCTTTTTATCCAGATATTCTTCAACGTTATGATGCCATCGAGAGGGGAAGTGATACATTATCGGCTCAACTAGATGCACATGCAGACATGAAATTCACACATGTTATATCTTGTCAAATGTTTGGATCACAGAAATCCTCTGGAGAACCTCAGGCCCATGACATAATTGATTTAATGATAAGGTAGTCCTCCTCCAGTAATGAAATACTCGATATAAAAGAAAAAAGGCTATTAATAAGTGTTAATCGCGTCTATTTGGGTTGCTGGGAGAGGGGGGCTGAAGAAGATGTAATTTTTTCCATTATCTTTGCACAGAGTGACTGCTTTTAGGCTGGAACTTGTGTTCTCACGCTTTGCAGCTTGAATGTTTACTATTTCACTATTCAGTCGCCCCTATCAATATTTGCTTGAAACAAAATTTAGAAGCTAGTGATATTCACCTATGCAATATTTTCTTGAAGGTACCCCTCTTTGCGTGTTGCTTATGTTGAGGAGAAAGAAGAGATTGCAACAGATAAGTCTCGAAAAGTATATTCATCCATATTAGTTAAAGCTGTCAATGGCTTTGACCAGGTAACAGACTATTTTGATATCTTATTGCAATCAGAAATAAAAGATTAATACATGATAAACAGTTTTCTTATGTTGAGGGAATTCAGTGAATTATTTGAACGAATTCCTAGTATTCTGGAATCTGGACCATATATAAAGATATTTTTTCTTGGAGAAAGAAGAGTCACATTATTACTTGATTTCCAAATTGAACTAAATAACAATTACAGAATTTATTTTATGAAACTGCTTAGTGTAATTTATTTTATAATTGTTCTCGACAAGTTCTTTATGTTTTGAAAGGTCACATGATAACCTCTGTCATTGCAATTAATTATGCTTTTTCAAAACATACAACCTAGCGAAGGTAAGTGGGTTGAATGGCATAATGTACTATTTTTTAATCTGATAATAGTACATAAAAACATAATGTACTATTTAAAAAAAAAAAAACATAATTTACTATTTTTTAATCTGATAATAGCTCATTAGGCCATAAGATTTTGTAGTTTAATCATTTATAAGGTCATAGTTAAGTAGTCAATATGTTTAATCTAACATTCTTTTAATTTGTAAAGTTTTTAATTTAGATTATTGCTCGTTGTGTTAGCATAACTCAAATGTCATGCATTCATAATGTCCGTGTTCAATTTGTGAAATATGCACTGCAATATGTGGTGTTAATCAGCATTTGCTTGGAGATTTCGTTATGATCACTTTAGACTGCATCATATATTTTTTCAAAGCAATTTTAATATGGTAGGATTTCGAGAATAAATATAAATTATATAATAAAAATTATCGGAATCCTAATTTAGAAAAAGAAAATCTAGATGGTAAACACAAGTCATCAACCCTAAAACTATGGTGAAAATAAACACAACTAATAGATTTACAAATATATATATTTTTATAAATTAAGAAAATAAATTAGATTACAGACAAAATATAGAGTAAAGACAAATCTTTAACCTTAAGTTGAGTAGGAATAAAGGGACGTATGAGGAGAATAGAAAATTTCTACACTAAGAACTTCTTGTATAGAAAACTAGACGTAATAAAATGCCAAAACATTGTAACATACTTCTTCTCCCTTTCCTCCTCCTCCTCCCCTCTCTCTCTCTCTCTCTCTCTCTCTGAGTTTGAAGAGAAATTAATGACTTTTCATTGTGGACTAAAAGACTAAAGTGTCTTTTTTTTTTTTTTCTTTCCCCCCCCCCCCCCAATTTTGAGTTTGGGAACATCTACAATTAGAGAAAAATATATAGAACAGAAAATCAAGAGAAAATATTTGAGCTGGGGCATCTCTGGATGCCATGCGGCTCCCCCACTGTTAATTTACTTTTAATGATTCCACCGTACCAACCATATTTTTTACCTTTTTATTTCATTCTTTAGGCACTGGATACATTTTTTTTCCATAAATTGTTAAAGCTTAATACAATAAGGGTAGTTGCTAGAGATGCAGTATCGTCTTGAAGTGTTATTCTTTATTTACCTTTCTTCTGTATCTTCTCTGATTTAAATAGGAATTGAATTGATTAGCATCATTTGGTTCATTTTTATCGAGGAAGGGCCGAAGGGGGGAGGAATTAGATTAAAAGTACAAAGGTGTTGGAGGAACAGTGCTTACATTTTCTGTTAAACTCTAAACTACATGTATAAAATTAATTATGCCCAATAATTCCCTACCAAAAAAGTAATATGCACAAGAATTTAATATGCTACAAGAGAAAACAACATGAACAAGGACAACACGTTTAGAAAGAAAATCTATTTAACATATATGTATATATATTTTTCTTATTTAACATAATTATTGGGAAATCTTTTCCTGTCCACATTTCCCACTACCAAAGATTGTGGAAAACCTTTGCAGACTTTAATTGGAAACTCAACTTTTAAACCTGAATTTTTATTTTAAATTTTCTGGATGTTTGTATGAGCAAGAGAGTGAAACTGTGAAAGAGATTGCAAAAACAACAGAAGCATATCCACGATGGGTCCGGATCCTCTAGTTATATTATTATTATTACTAAAAATAAAATTAATGTAAAGTGCACCTTTGCGTCAATAAATGAATCACTCTACTTCCCCTCAGGGTAGAGCAAAAATCAATCATGCCTGGCTGTTAAATAGTTCAAATAGAACAACTCCTTCCTAGAACTTGGTATATATGGCACCTAACTGATCTTCTGATATGTTATAGCTTGGAATCTTGTTCCTCATCGCCTTATTCTGAATTACACTCTACCTCCAATTGTTCAATTCTTCCTTATAATACTGGATTAGAGGCTATATATATAAAGCGGCTTGATTAAGTTAAATATTCTCACACGTTGTAGCAGTAATAGCTCTATATTTAGCATCTATACCTACCTTTCCACCAACAAATGTGCAATACCAATACGCTGATCTCTTACTACTTTGATTACAGGACATAAATCTCTTCCCAGAGTTCCTTTGAGATACTACAGAACATGATCTGCTGTTTTTCCTGTTATGTTGTCTTGGATTTAATACAAATTGATTATCAAGTCTCACTGCAAATGCAATATTTGAATGAGGCACTGCATATATAAGCTGCATTAATTTCTATCAATCTTCTATATCAAGTATGATCATCAAATGACAAACCATCATCTTCTCATATATGACGTTACGATCCATGGAGGTGTCAATTGGTTTTATAAGAAAATTAATGGTAAAGATGTAAAGGAGAAAATAAAAGTAAGGGAAAAGAAGAAAAGAAAGAAAAAAATCTAGATTAGTTGCTCTAATATAATGTCTTGGATGCCTGTACAAGCAAGAGAATACCCAAGATGGACCTGCCTCTTGTAGTTATATCGTTCTTGCTTGAAAATAAAAATAATTCTGAAGTACATCTTTTCTCTGTTGTAAATTATATCACTCTCCATGACAATGAAGTGAAAATTAATGTTTGTAATGCTGGTTCAATTCTCCCAAATACAAGCAACAGTAGCAATAACATAACAGAAATCCTAAAAATGACAGTTTCTCCTTGCAGCAATTCTTAGAAAAGAACCTGGGTGCAAGACCCAATTTACATCCCGCCCCCAATCAAACGCCCAAAAAGCCCACTATTTGAAATAAAAAACAGCCTTAAGTACATTAAAATGACTTGTATGCTTCTCTGTTCTAGAAATAAAGAAGTAAGCTAAAATATTTCATGATGTGGTGGTCCTGGACTCTCCCACCTTATTCCTGCACAGGCAGACTTCTAATAAAGACTACATCTGGGTTGCATCAGTAATTATACTTGATCATTTCACTATTTTAGCCGAAATTGTTTGAATAGTCTAGCATCAAATAAGTCCATGTGATATAAGTCATCTTAATGTGGTGGAAACTTTTTGAATTGCCTAAATACTAAAAGGTAATGACCACCACCATGCATTATACACCACAAGCTACTTAATTGTCTACATTGATTACCCTTGCAATACCGATGCTTTTTTAATGCATTTGAATATTTATCATTTTCATTCAATCTGCTTATTTGATGAAAGTCTGTCACCTTTTCATGTGTAATTTGATATGCATCCTTGTTTTTTATTGTTGAATTGTCAAACTTTATAGGAGATATATCGCATAAAACTTCCTGGACCACCAAATATTGGGGAAGGGAAACCTGAAAACCAAAATCATGCCATAATTTTTACACGTGGTGAAGCTCTCCAAGCGATTGATATGAACCAGGTTTGCTCTTCCTCCTCCTACTCGTAAAAGATTAGTAGCTCTTACCCATTTTGTTTTTACATTCACATTCTTACAGGATAATTATATGGAAGAAGCTTTCAAAATGAGAAATGTTCTACAAGAATTTATGCGGCACCAAGGACGGAAGTCTCCTACTATACTTGGTTTGAGGGAACACATATTCACAGGAAGGTTAGCTCCTTATACTCTTTCAATTATAACTGCCACATCATGCATGATGCACATATATAGTAAACTACACGGCAGGAATTTGAAGATTTCTTTAGACAGTAATACATAACTAATTTAAGAATATATTCCACATGGGCCACAAATCCGAAAATCGATTGCCATGTATGTCCTGAACAATAAAATTTTCACACAATTTGCTACACTCTTCAGGTATGTGGCGGGTTTGTCAACATGTTTTTAACTTGACAGTTATTTTATGTTTGTATCACTCATTGTCATTTATTGAATTTTATTTCTTAAATAAGTAGTATAAGAAAATTCCTGTTCTATGATGGTTTAGGAAATTATGAACAATTTGAATGGTTGTGGAAGTAAAAAAACACCTATTACAATATATTATGAAATAAAGTTTTAATCTGCAGAAGTTGAAACAGAAAATCCAATACAAGACAAACAATTGAATAGAAAAAAGGAATTAAAAATTGAAAAAAGCAAGAGAGGAATGAAATAGATCAGATCCAAGCAACCAATGCATAATAAAAGAGAATTTCTGATTCTTGATTCACCATTTCACCCCCTTTCAGATAATTTCTTTATCACAATGTGTTGCTGTGGTTGTATAGAATATAATGGTTAAAAATCTGTACTTAAACTAGTGAAGTAGGACAAATGTGGTGAGCATTCTATGAGTTTTGATTATCCAATTGATGAGGTTATTTAAATAGGAAAACATTGTAGAAGTAATTGTAGAGACCCTAGAATTGATCTTGTGGAGGGCTTAGGTAAAGGATTGTCTACAAATTTAAGTTATGGAAGAACAGTTTGAGGATTTTCAGATGTGAAAGAATTAAATGGGCTAGCAAGTGAAGGCATTAGAGAATATAAATACTTAATTTATACCTTCTCTAACAGCTAAGCTTTTAGATTAGGTGATAGTTAACATGATATCATAACAGACAAGATTCTAAGTTCAAACCTCACCACCACCTGATAACTTTAAAGTTTAGGTTGCTTGAAATTCTGGGCAGCAGAAAGTGTGGTGCCTGGTATATTAAATTGAATGCTAAAAGGAAAGAGAAAAGGTTATATTTAATTTTGGTTCAGTAATGTTGGTTTTTAGGAATGTCCTCTTCTGATGACTTAATTACTTTTTTGGATTCTTTGGGGCCTTAGACCCCGGTTTCTCTAATGTTTATGGGACACGTTCCCCTATTAAATGCCTCTTTTAATTCATTATTACTTATCAAAAAAAATGTTGGTTTTTAGGAATGAAATCAGAGGAATTGTGAATCATTAACTCGTGTATGGTACTGTTGGTTGATTTGTTTTCTTTTGTGTGCTTTACTGTTGAACAATTAGAAGATAGAAGGATTCAGGTCTGCAAAATAGAATAATGTCTGATTATGGCTTTTAAAGGCTAACAAGGGCAGATAAGTAAGAGAAAAAGAACAGAGGTAGAAGAAGAGGAAGAAGAACCTAATAAACTGATCTCTATTGAAAAGAGCGCGTGTACACACACACATGTGAGGCTCGGTGGGTGGGAGTAGGCCTGTGAGAGGTGAGGCTCTGGTGCGAGCTACGTGTGCTCACAATTCCCACATCGTTTGGGTGTGGAAGAGTGAAGTGCTATATTTAGGTTCATCACCCTTCTATAACATAACGCATTTTAAAGCCTTGATGGCCATGAACCCATCAGAATTCCGGAGTTAAGCGTGCTTAACTTGGAGGAGTACCATGATGGGTGACCTCTTGGAAAGTTTGGTCCGGGGGAGCCAAAAGCGGACAATATTGTGTTGGTAGGGTGAGGGCCATTACAAATGGTATCAGAGCTTCACCCAGCCGGAAGTGTGCCGACGAGGACGTCAGGCTCCCAAGGGGGGTGGAATTGTGAGGCTCGATGGGCGGGAGCAGGCTACGTGTGCTCACAATTCTCACATCGCCTGGTTATGGAAGAGTGAAGTGCTATATGTAGGTTCATCACCCTTCTATGACACAACGCGTTTTAAAGCCGTGACGGCCGTGAGCCTACTAAAACTCCAGAATTAAGCATGCTTAACCTGGAGTAGTACTAGGAGGGGTGACCTGGGAAGTCTCTGGTCCGGGGGAGTCAAAAGCGGACAATATTGTGTCGATAGGGCAAGGGCCATTTACAAACACACATGGGGCTAACTATTGCTCACCTCCAACAATTCCCATAATTAGCATAAATTCCTTGACTCCAAAATCTTGATATAACACAAAAAAAATTAAACAAGCGACAAACCAAACCTAAAAAATTTTAAACTAAGACTCAACACAACCTAAAGCTTGACTATATAACCAATCTGAAAAGGGAAGTGGTATTTGAACTCCCAGCAATATTCTCACACTCATTTGATTCTTTTAATGGAAATGATATTCACATGTCACCTTTCTCCACTTGCTTTCTTTTAAAATGAAATGACATAATTGTACTTCCAAAACACTCTCTCTCCTCCATATTTATTCTAAAAAGTACTCTTGCACTTCACTTTTGAGGGTTAATTTTTTCATTTCATTTATTAAAAACTTGAAGTGGTGTAAATGAAGAAAAAGTGGAGTGCCGATATCATATCCCCTTCTTAATAAAGGAAATGACACAATTGCTCCACAAAGTGGAGTGTAAGAGTACTTTTTTGAGACAACTGTAAAGTGAATTCTTTTAAGGACAATTATGTCATTTCTTAAAAAAGAGCAAGTGAAATATGAAAGTACTTTTGCAAAGTGAAGATATCATACCCCTTTCCAGAATTCTTCTTTTATTTATTTATTTATTTTTAAATTTCCCCTTCTTAAGCTTCTTGTGGCTAATATCAGCTAGGTCAAAAATCCAATAAAATCACCAATGGAAATGCAACTGGAGACAACTTGTAGTTTAGTGCTAAAACTCTCTAGAAAATAGAAGAGAGGATTTCCACAAGAGAATTATAAAATTCGTAGAAAAGAATGATGAATAAAAAACTCTCACCTTTTGAAATTAGCAGTTAACCTTTTCATTTAAAAGGTATAAACCAAAAGATAGTGATGATTAGAAGGTCGGTTGAGAATGTTGAATGACCATAAACCTGGTTAGGATACCAACGGTAAGATGAAAACACAAATTTCTAAATAAATTTAAACAACCATATTCCAATTAAAAATAGTGTTGCCAGCTTGTTAGAATCTATCCCCACATTTTTTTATATGTGATAATTTAGCAAATGCAGAAATCCTTATGTTATGAGATCAGGTTTCCAATAATTTCTTCTTGCCAAAAAATTGTTATTTTCTGTGTCATGTAATAGTGTTATCCATGTTGCATGCATAGATAATATAATTCGTGTCGTGGCAAACTTAAGCACACTTTTTTTTTACTCTTTCTTTCCACTTATTCTTCTTTCTACAAACCCCTAGTTCATTAGTTCACAGACTTCTATTCAAATTTGTTTGCTCAGAAAGTGGGGCTTCAAAGTTTGATAGTCTGTACAAAAATACAAATGCCTGCATTCCCATGTTGCTGAGGTAGGTTTTTAAACATAATAATCTGTAGTGATTTCCGGAGAAGGAATAATGAGACCCAGACCTTCCACACACTCCAATCTGCCGGGATTTTGCAGTGGTTTTGAGTTGGATGTCTTGCTGATGGGGCTGGTTTAGGTACCCAAGTTAGTGGATTTTTGCTCTTCATTTGAAGTTAATTTGATGTTAATACTGCTGTGAAACTTGTAACTTTTTTTTTTTTTTTTTCCTTCTGAATAATGTTGCCTATGTTAGGATAAAACTATTTGAACTCTAAAAATTTTGCTGATAGTGTTCAATAAATCATTTGTTAGTAAGAAAGTATATTTGCCATTTTAGAACTTAAGCCTAAGAATCTGATATTGTCTCACTAATTGCAGTATTTCCTCTTTAGCATGGTTCATGTCTTATCAAGAGAGCAGTTTTGTCACTATTGGTCAAAGGCTTCTAGCGAATCCTCTCAGGTAATGGATGCCTTGCTTGCATGCTCATGATGGCAACTAGCCACAGAAAAAAATCGAGGATTATTTTTCTCAATATCCATCTTATTCTTAGATTTAGAAAATTCCGTTGGTTATTGTTTGCAATTCCATTATTTTTGTTCACTATGCTTTCCATGATGAAAGCTTTGATTGCTGTGTATTGCCAGTCAACTGATCTTGACCAATTTTTGTTTTTCTTTCACTTTAAATTTATTATACAGGGTACGATTCCACTATGGACATCCTGATTTGTTTGACAGGGTTTTTCACTTAACAAGAGGTGGCATAAGCAAAGCATCAAAGACAATTAACTTGAGTGAGGATGTTTTTGCTGGTAGGAATTAGTTACCTTCATTTTCTTGTTTGAAGATATATTGTCTTTTGTTTAAGTTCCAGTTACAGATCAACTGGTTTAATGTAGGGTTTAATTCTACATTACGACGGGGATATGTTACATACCAGGAGTATATGCAAGTTGGCAAAGGTCGTGATGTAGGCCTTAACCAGATTTCAAAATTTGAAGCGAAAATAGCAAATGGAAACAGTGAACAGACTCTAAGCCGTGATATATACCGCCTTGGTCGTCGGTTTGATTTCTTCCGGATGCTTTCATTATACTTCACAACCATTGGGTTTTACTTTAACAGCCTGGTAACTTGTCTGAATCCTGAAAATATTTTAACTTTAAGAATAGTAGAATATGATACATCCATTTAGATTGACCTCCATATTTCAGCCTGGAACTGGAATTGGATTTTTATATCTGTAAACATTTTAGGATTAAATTTTACCTAGGAAAATTTACGGATTGACTGGCTTAAATGTGGTAGCTGACTTTTTTTTTTTTTTTTGATAAGTAATGGTAACTGACTTAAAAACTAGACATTATTGTACAAGTACAATGGGCCTTGAAAAAACACTGGATGGGAGAAAGAAAGATCTGTAATAAGTACCAATTTCCCTTTTTCTGTGAACTGGAAGGTTGTGCAAAATCAACTTTTACTGATAAGTGATAACCGAATGGACCAATAAGAAGGGGAAAAAGAAAAGAAATCACCTAGCAAACTTCCTTAATGTGTTCCGTTTTCTGGACACATGACGCGTGTATAAATCCGGGGAAAATAATCAAATTGCAATTGTGAAGTTGTAGGATCTCTTGAAGTATATATTAAAAAAGGTTAGTTGTATGACAAAGTGTTGTCATGATTTCTGAATTCTGATGGATTGCATAGAAGTTATACTAGATATCGTATTATCTATTTATCTTTAATTTTTACATGCTATTTGTTTTGAACAAAAAGAAAAGGAAAGAAAAGAGCTGATCTTTCCATTTTCTTTGATATGTAACAATTGCTGATCCTTGACATAGTAATTTGGTGTGTTGATTCAATTGAATTTTTGAAGTTTCACGCTTGTTCCATCTGTGTTGAAACTCTGCAGATATCAGTAATTGGAATTTACGTGTTCCTTTATGGGCAGCTTTACTTGGTTCTTAGTGGTTTGGAAAAAGCACTCCTTCTTGAGGCCAGAATTCAGAACATAAAATCCCTGGAAACAGCTCTAGCTTCTGAGTCATTTATCCAGCTTGGACTCTTAACGGGCTTACCAATGGTGATTGAGATTGGACTTGAGAGAGGATTTCTTACTGCTCTGAAGGATTTTGTCCTCATGCAATTGCAACTGGCTGCTGTATTCTTCACTTTCTCTCTTGGAACAAAATCTCATTATTATGGCAGAACAATTCTTCATGGAGGCGCCAAGTACAGACCCACAGGTCGTAAGGTTGTGGTGTTTCATGCCAGCTTCACAGAGAATTATAGACTATATTCCCGAAGTCACTTCGTGAAAGGATTTGAACTGCTGCTCCTGTTGACTGTTTATGATTTATTTAGACGGCCCTACCAAAACAGTATGGCATATGTGTTAATCACATATGCCATTTGGTTCATGTCGTTGACTTGGTTGTTTGCACCATTTCTTTTTAATCCTTCTGGATTTAACTGGGGCAAGATAGTGGATGATTGGAAAGATTGGAATAAGTGGATTAAGCAACAAGGTGGTATAGGAATCCATCAGGATAAGAGTTGGCAGTCCTGGTGGAACCATGAACAAGCTCATCTTCGTCATTCTGGGCTGATTTCTAGGTTGATTGAAATATTTCTCTCTCTCAGATTTTTTATTTACCAGTATGGTCTGGTCTATCACCTTGATATATCTGGGCAGAACAAAAATTTCATAGTTTATGTGCTCTCGTGGGTTGTCATTGTTGTGATTTTCCTGTTAGTCAAGGTAAACTCCTATTGATGCTTTTATTTGATAATATGTCTAAATGCATTTTTATTTACTTATATGCGCCTGTTAAGTCATGGGTCTTGAATATTGCTTACTGTTATCATGGGTCTTGAATTGAATTTTGTGAAAATGAGTTTACTTATAGAAATCACAGTTAGTCATCCAATCAATTCCATTCTGATCCAAGAGATATGGTTAGTCATTGTATTAGATGTTAAGTCCCAACCCCTTCACCCAGCCCATGTTCTCCACATATTATAAATTTGTTGTAATTAACGTTAAACTAATGTTTATGACACTTAGTTTTCATGTAATGACATGGTTAGGAAAAACCTGCCCGGACCATAAAGTATTAAGTGTAACCAAATATTAAATGATTAGATAGTGCAGTGATTTTTTTGCACGTTTTGAAGGAGAATGTTTGATAAAGAAGTATATTCTAGAACAGCTGAAATTCTTTATTTGAAATTCCCATAAAGCTTAAGATTACATGCAGATGTTATCCCTCCAAATTTACAGACTTGAAAACCATCACCTAGACGTTGAAATTGACCCATATAGTAAGCTATAAGGGACCATTGCCTGGAGCACTGGTAAAATGTCTGGCTATCAAGCATGAGAACGTGGTTTCGAATCCTGATCAACTTCATTTCCTTATAGCTTACAATCAGATGCATGGAACGTGGTTTCATTTGCCATGCTTCATATTATGATCAACTTCATTTCCTTCCTTCAATTTCCTCATTTGAGACTGGGACTCTGGATTAGTACTTTAAGTTATACTTGTCAAAAGCTTACTAATTTTTCAACACGAGTATCTGCAACAACAAAATCTGTTTTGTTGCCACCGTTGCCTGTGTTAAGTAAGTTCTGTATATTACTATCTTCTTCTTGTTATGATGGTCAATATACCTTTCTGAAGAAAGCTCTTCCTGCATCATGTGCTAAAAGTCTTTCAAGTAGTACAATGTGTTCTCCTTTTCATCTCTGGCTTCTATCTGATTGCTAATTGACTACTGTGTAATTTCATCAAGTAGTTCCATGCATCTGATTGATGATAACCTTTCTGCAATGGTTGATTCAACTTCTATTATTTTCTTATGCTTTGATTGGTCAGTGTATAACTTATTCTAATGAGCACATGATTTCAACATGCTAACACAGGTAGTGAACGTGGGGAGGCAACGGTTGAGTGCTAAATATCACCTTGCATTCAGGCTATTTAAAGCATTTATTTTCCTCGGTGTCCTATCTACCATAATAACTCTCTCCTACATCTGTGAACTCTCTTTGATGGACTTGATCGTGTGCTGTCTGGCATTTTTGCCAACAGGATGGGGTTTAATATTGGTAGGCTTAGCCAAATAAATATTTTTTTTAAAAAAAAAAAAGAAAAGAAGAAGAAGACACGTGATTTTCTTAATCAGTTTTTTGCACTGATATTTTGGTTTGTTCAGGTTGCACAAGCTGTGAGACCCAAGATAGAGGATACAGGATTGTGGGATTTCACCCGGGTCTTTGCTCGAGCTTATGATTATGGAATGGGCATTCTTCTTTTTGCACCCATAGCTTCTTTGGCATGGCTCCCAATCATCTCGGCTTTCCAGACTCGTTTTCTTTTCAACGAGGCGTTCAATAGGAAATTGCATATTCAACCAATTCTTGCAGGAAAAAGGAAACGTGGATAACATCCCCTCAACTGGGATTGTGTACAGAATACTCGTGTATAGTCAAATCACTGTCACAAATACTCATTTTGTAAAAGTGATGCATCTAAGATAAAATATATACATCAATTGATTCTTTTGATTAAAAATAAATAAAATTACAAGAGACTGAAGGAAAACGTTTATACTTCGTTCCAAGTAACTTTCTGTAGAGTAAGAGTCATTCGCGACTGTGTACTATTTAAGAATTTAGATGAACCCTTCCATTGTTTTCTTAAATTGTGCCAAGGGTCACTGTGAAGATCAAAGAAGTTGAAACAGTAACTAATGATATCATTGGCATTCTCTAAGAGTGTAAATTGTTCATATAGCTGAACTTGATATATGCAGCTCTGATTTGGCAGAACTGAAGTTTAGCAGAGTGGATTATTTATGATTGTATACAGCTAACATTTTTAAATTGCAATTGTGCAGCAGAACTGTATTGATTTTCATCATAAATCATTTGCTATTAGGTACCCACTGAGATCTAGGAAGTGGCTGCAACTAAGCGGAATGCTATCCTGAATCCGCATCATTTTTTTGCTTTTTTTTTTTTTTTTTTGGGTTGTAGATATTTTACATGCTGTATACACACACACACACATTTCTTCCCCAAATTAACTATGTATTGTTGTATGTAGGTGGCTTTAGTTGCTGTTACCAAATTCCATTGACAGGCTTGTAACCCCATAATGCATTTTTTATTTATCATATGTATGTATCAAAATCAAACATGCTACATTTAGGATGGAGGAAGCATACTTGGAATTCAGTAGTCGAAGTGTTAAAAGTAGCAAAGACTTGAGCAGATAAAATTAAGAGTTTAAACGGATGATCACAATTGAAATTCTTACTGGTAAAGAGTATCTTAGTAGATGGAGTTCTTTTACAGGGTTTATGTTAGCAAGTTGGTGATGCTAAACAAATATGAAACCGGGAAGAGAACCGGATTCTTGGTACCAGCAACCAAGGTTTGTGAACCTTTGCAGTTCCGGCAGGAGGTACACTATTGTTTCATAGTTAATAAGCCAAGAGGAAAATTGTTGAAACGGAAGCAGAATTAAGAAGTTTTTCCTCGTCTCCACCACTACATCTTATTAATCCCTTTGTCCTGCTCTGATTTTGTAAATCACACTGTTTGGATCTGTTCTTCCTCCAATGATTTCCTGTCAAATCTAGTTTGAACTGCCTGTTGATTCTGGTTTTGTAGTAGGTCATTCTACTATTTAAGGTTTGGTTCATCTTGTGATTGATGAAAACCAGTTTTTGGCTAAGCTGATCAACTGCAAGCTCTGAAACACACTGGTGTCACCTTATGGCATATCTAACTTCATCACAACATTGTTGTTTTTGGACAAGACTCTTAACCCTCCTTAAAACACTTCGTCTCATTACAACAGGTTCAAACTTTGCTGTCTCCGGGTTAAGTGTCACGCCCCGAAATCCCATGAGTCGGGTCGCGAAGAAATAAAATAAAAATAGATAATTAAATAAATTAATAGATAACTAAGTAATTAAATATATAAATAAAAATGAAATACCATCAGCAGCACTCTATACAAGTGCCGAAACAATACACCCTCATCCCCTGGGTTAAATCAATTATCTCAGATTCCACCTGTCACATATATCATTCATGCTCAAATGGTTCATTAATAAATCAATGGGCTGAATGCCGAGGGTTTGGATGACCAGATTACCATATGGGCGACAACACAGTGGTATGGTTGACATGGAGGTAACAAAATCAGTACGTGGCCAAACTAATGGTCATGGTTTCAAATAAGAATCTGCCTTGGACTAGAAGTAGAAATGTACAAGTATTATAACGCATGTTGGTCATGACCCACCCATGAATATATGAACATAGTTTTATAACAAAATGAAAATAAGTCAGGCAGGTAGTCAAAATGGAACTCGCCTCCCTCAAAAATACATTAGTGACTACTCGTGATTGCCCAGGATACAAAATAATAGTAATAAATGAATAAGTAAGTAAGTAAGTAGATAATAATAATAATAATAATAATAATAATAATAATAATTAGTAATATGATTAATTAAATATTTGCATTAAACTATCCAACTGAACTCACATTTATATACATTATACAATAATCGTTCAATCTCACTACACAAGTCTATAATTTTAATTTCGAAGTTATAACATAATAAGGATGAACATACAATTCAAGTAAAAGTTATGGACTCCATGACCTCATTACACCCATTAAAACATAAGGTGAGAAATAAAATCATGGGATTACATGAGTAGAGATAAAAGAGAAAATTCCATCAAAAATCCAAAAGATATATGGGTGATTTCCTAAGCTATTTTTCTCCTCCAAAAATACATACATGTATCATCAAATACTTTATCCAAATACACTAGGAGTCAAAATATAAGTCTAAAAGTAAGCTATACAACGCATGTCACAATTACCATAAGGTAGCTCAAAACATCGTCAAGATCCCAATTAAACTAGGGATGAGGAACCTCCTCTTGGGCAATGCCCTTTTCTGAAAAATATAGGATCAATGGGGTGAGTAACGAATTTCTTCGTATGAATGTCTCATGAATATAAACTAGGTTTCTCAAAATTCTACAAACATGGCATGGCCATACAATACAAGAAACATATTTCCTAACGTCTAGTCTCAAGGGAAACATAAATAGGATCATCATAGTCTAGCATAAACAAATTTGATCCATTCATCAAGATAGACATAAACAATATAGTGAAATGTACATAAATTCACAAGTTGCGATAACACATAAATGTCTACTTAAAAATAAAAGTCGAAATCAATTAATGGGATAACTCGGAACACACTCACACTCTTGGTCTCATAGCCATGCTATGCACCTAAATAAAAATAGTCATTCTCGGATTACTAGTCCGCCGGAAATCAACTGATTAGCCAATATAAAGTTGGGAAACTTATATTTCACCCGCAAGCGCCAAGCCCTCGCATTCTCAAAGTAAAAACCTCCGAGTATTTCCCAAAATCAACAAACAAATCCACAAAATAATCCATATACCATGATATGCCCAAATTGCATTTCACAAGCGCACATAAATTATACTAATCACATAATCCATGTCCTACGATCCAAATCATTATAACGGCATACTCTTTGATGCAATGTCAACAAATTGGATATTTTAAAGTCATATGATTTAATATTATCATTATATCAAATTTTAAGTGTGTAAAAATTTAATATCATCATAGAAATATACATCTTCAAAGTTAACCCTCACAAGATAACAAATACATGATAATTTCATAAATAACCACAACATGTAAGGCACTTTAATTACAAGTAATTGTACACACTAAGATTTAGCACTTTAACAAACATCAATAATGTCAACAATGAAACAAATAACATGTTACACATGAAAATTAATATAAGAACTCAATGAAACATTATGGACATGCAATTAAGTCATTATATAAGCTCTCTAATCCAACCCCCACACACAAGTGCATGCATAACTCACACAATGGTCATATAATCTCAAGAATTCCTGGGTTATAAGCACAATACACCCCTACCTCAAGTTAAGAACAAACCCTAACTACTCTAAATGAACAATGTGCTCCAAATCCGAAATTGATTAGTGGGTTTTGTTGCTCTCGATATGCTCTACAGTCTTTCCTTCTACGATAAATTTGAATCCCAATGGAGGTAGATGAATCTAAGCCTTGAATGTGTGGAAATATGAAATGAAAAAGCTAAGGAAAATGGGAGAGTCTTTGTCGGCAAAAGGGAGGAGAAAAAATGAGTTTCTCTCCCTACACACGTGAAATATCTACCCTACACACGCACCTCTTATTCTAGTTAATCATAGGCCCCACCAAATGTTCACTTATCACAAATGGGCCACAAAACTAGAAATATTAACATATGTGTATGTATATGTCAAATAAAATAAATATGTCATGTCAACATGTCTCAAATAAATATATAAATAGTGTCGGGAATAAATCCCAAACACTAGACCCGACATGGGCCTACGTGACCCTAACATGTGAATGCACAAAATAATATAGGGAAAAAGGGAAAAAAAAATTCCCGATTGTCACATTAAACAAAGCTCAAACCCACGTCAAGTCCGGTTGCTTGCGCTAATCAGCAGCTTATAGCAAGTTGAAACTTTGTTATTCTGTCTAAGATTTGGCAGTTCATCACGGGATTCGGTAGTAATAATTAATAAGTAGGCTCTCCAGCATGACTCGCTTTGGGTATAGCCATGTATACCGAATCTCATTGTCTTGTGTAGTATTAGTGTTTTGGAACAACTGTGTGTGTGTGTTTTTATAATAAAAAATTAATTAATTAATTAACAAGGCAAGTGAGAGTGAGAGAGTGCAAAATTGAAATGGGACTTCTATTTTCCTTTATTGTTCTCATACAAATATGTACACATTTATGTACAATAAGAACAACAGTTTTCTTCAACATGAACAAAATATTTAGCTTGTGAAGTGCCTTAAGTGCGTCTCAAGGAAGTAAGTCTTAGGACTAGAAATGTCAGCATTCACAATTTTTTTTTTTTTTACAAAAAAACAACTGTTTTGAGCTTTGGATATCACCATATGAAAACTTACGCATAAAAATATAACTATAGCTCGGGCTTTTGTTTCAAGGTGGATATACAAAGAAGCCAAACTACAACATCATCGTACAAAAACCCAAATTTCACTGTTCTCCCACTTCAGTCACAACTAAACCATGAAACACTATCTTTTACCACTTCCAAGATTCCCCTCAGATATCTTGGGGCTTGAGGACGACTAGACAATCCCATTTCCTTCCAAGATGTTTGATGCATTATCGTCTACCGTCTCCATATCTTCAAGACTGACCTTTGACGGCTCTTCAATGTTCAGTACAGGATTAGTTGGAGTTGTTTGAAGACTCTTCATATCTTCAAGACTGACCTTTGACGGCTCCTCAACATTCATTACAGGGTCAACTGGAGTTGTCTGAAGATTCTTCATATCTTCAAGACTGACCTTTGACGGCTCTTCAGCATTCATTACAGGGTCAACTGGAGTTGTCTGAAGATTCTTCATATCTTCAAGACTAACTTTTGACGGCTGTTCAGCATTCATTACAAGGTCAATTGGAGTTGTCTGAAGATTCTTCATATCTTCAATACTGACCTTTGACGGCTCTTCAACGTTCATTACAGGGTCAGTTGGAGTTGACTGAAGATTCTTCATATCTTCAAAACTGACCTTTGACGGCTCTTCAACGTTCATTACAGGGTCAGTTGGAGTTGTCTGAAGATTCTTCATATCTTCAAAACTGACCTTTGACGGCTCTTCAGCGTTCATTACAGGATCAGTTGGAGTTGTCTGAAGACTATGAACATGTTCCTTGTATTTAAAAGAATCATTACTACAGCTAGATGTCGGACTAGGAAAAACTGGAACCACATCAACTACAGGGATACAAGTTGATGAAGGAAGAGATTCCTCGTCAGAAGAGTCATATACAACAGGTAAGCCTCTCTCTATCACTATCAACCCTGGATCACCTTGTGTTTTTCGTGACCCTTTCCGGGAAAATGCATGCTTTATGCCTCGAGCAGACTTCTCAGCATGCCTCATAATGCTCTTTGCCATATCTTTTACCTGTCTCTTGCCTGGGCTTTCTGGCTCACTTCTGCCAGAACTATCAAGTCCTTCTGTTTCTGGAACATTTACAGAAGATGGTGTGCAAAGGTTGTCCTCCACTATGAACTTCACACCAATCTGCTTTGCATTTGTGGCTTTAAGGTTGGCATGTGGAGACGGAACTGACTCAACAATGCTGCTGGAATTATCCTCCTGTTTGGAACTCCTGTGAAATAATGAACTAATCCTCCGCAGGCCCCTCCGAACAGAGTTTTTTGGACGTCCTTTATTACCCTCCAGACTTTCGTCATTGCTGCTGCTGTCATTGTTATAGGATCCAGACGCTGTTGACTTAAAACTTCCATTAGGATTACTGCCCGCACTGGGGATTTGGGCATCAAGGAGCCTGCTTTTTCCTTTTCTAGGTTCCCATATATGTGAAGCTTCACTTCCTGGCTGATGGACCCATATCCCAGTCACTTGTTGCCCTTCAACGTCAATTGGTTCAAACTTATCTGCCATTTTTGGGGACTTTGGTGACGCTCCCGACAAGGAGGAGTGTCTCTGAGCAGTTTCACTAGCAAAGGATTTTCTTTCATATTCATTGTTTAATGTTTCTCCGTTACACGGCTGATCTGCCTGTACAAACTATGCCATGATGAGATCAAAACTCTTAACTTAACAATACAGTAATCTTTACAATCCAAGAAAGAGAGACGTCCAAAGGCACCCTTACTTTTTCATTTCTAGTTGATTAGAGCATAAGAAAGGGTAAAAGAATACCTTTAAATTGCTTTCAACTACGGTTATTGCAAGATGCAATCTCCCCATTTTTATGTTCTGAAGAGATAACCACATGTCATGTCTCTGGCCATCTCTACTATCGTTGATGTTTATGGAACAATTTCTGCAAATAATAGGAGAGTGAGAGTTGGTAAGTATAAGAATTTGCAAATCAACTTTACAGCAAATTCTAAATAGAATGTGCAGAAGGGATCAATATATGAAGAAACCAAAAACACTGACTACCAACAGCTGAAAAACAATAAAATACACAATCTGCAGAAGCATCCTTGTGTCACTCATCACTCTCTCTAATCACAGCATAACAAATTGAAAACCCACAACTCCATTACTTGTCATGGGACAATAATTTTTCTTACTGACAAAAATAAAGAAAAACACAACACGCCATTGGAATCAATCTACTTCCAGTCTGTAATTGAAATTGAACCTCAAATTTTGAAAATTTTAAGTTATTATCACCATTCAAAACCTCATGTTATACTTCTGTTTGTGCGAAACACATTTCAAATGGTGAAGTAGGCATTAAGGTGTCCACCACTTGCACCTCGTAAACCAGTAGGCAAGATGCTCAAATTCCTTCAAGTGTCTACTGGAGTTTTCATGTGAAATACTCGCTTCAAAATAAAAGACTAAACCTTAGCCAAAATAATTTCTAGACAAATGGCAACTCTTCCAGTGATTATTTTTAGCCAAGAAGTATATAAAACTCTTCTAGTGATTATTCTTAGCCAATAAAATCTAAGCAGCATAAGCAACTCTTCTTGTCAACTGAGTACTTGTAAGTAACTTGGTCATTTTAATAGATCTAGGGAGGTACAACCAAATAAACTTGTGAGGCTATGCAAGTTTGAATTAACACAAGGTAAAAAGTAAAATTGGAAATCTAATAACATAAAAACTAATTGTTTTGCCACTGCTATTATATGAGGTTTAGTAACAAACCCAAGGGAGTCATCAACAAAATGATCCTTGTCACGAACTTCTATAATTAGCAAATTTGGCGACTCCCATGTACAGATGGGGATCTTAAATTCCTCATGCCATTTTGGAGCCAATGTTTTCTTCTGCGTCTTAGTTCTGAATCTGTAAGGGCCAACTTGCCCTTTCACATATGGATCAGCCAATCCTGAAAAACAGCTCCATTTATTGTGCATAAACTTAGAATAGTAGTTATATTGATATACGAGTATTGTAGCTTAAACTAACCATTTAAATCTGATGGCTTCATGTCGGTTGCTTCAACAACTTCCACAACGGCATAAGCAATGGGCTCCTTCTCATCCACAGTGAACCAATTTTCTGACATATCAAATTAATATATTTATAGAACTTTGAAAACCTTAAGCATATAAGGTATGAAATTGTGTGGTATTATAGGATTGCGCAAGCTTTATCTCATTAACACCAACACTATTGAATTACAAATAAGCTTGCTGGATAAGGTGATTCATTGCAGAATGAAGAGAAACTAAGAATAAAGTACACCAATATAACAAGAAGAAAGTACCTTAATAAATGTCTCTCAAAAAAGAAAATCAGCAATCAACAAGAAAATCTATGTTTTGCTAAGATCACATAGCAATTATAAGCTTTATCAATAAGATATCTACAAACAGCTTAATATTTCACTTACAGGCTATAGCCAAGCTTATTCACTGCATTAAGTATCAAGTCTCAAGTATCAACGTAACTAATCTAACAAGGCATAATTGAATGAAGGGTTGGGCATGGAAATTTTAGAGAAGCTTCTAAAGCTATGTTTAATGTGTAATTCAATCTTACCACAATCGATGATTTCTAAAGAATTCTAAGTGGGATTCATAGATTGTTCGTAATTTTCTCCTTTCCCAATTCTCTTAAATAATAATTTATATGTTACTGTTTGTACCTGTGGAATGGCTTTTAAAATGTTGCTTTTGGCTTTTTGAGATCAAAAGCCATTTTGGATAGTGTTTGGATTACTAGTTTGGAATAGAAGAGCGTTTAGAGGAAAGTGGGACCAGCTTTCAAATTAAGAGCTTCCTATAAAACTCAGGAAGCTGATTTAAACTTTAGGACAACTCTCATAACTGGCAATGTTACCCTCATTTTTTTTTTTTTTTTTTTGACAAGTAAAATTGTATAAAAGCTCTCAAAAGGGGAGCGAAGCCCAAGAGAACTACACAAGGCCAAAAAGGACCTCTAAACCTTCACAGAGTCCAAAAAATCAACAATCTCCTCTAAAGATCCATAATTTCTCCCTAAAAATCAACAATCTCCTCTAACGTTACCCTCATATTTGTGAGCAAAAAAAACAAAGTATTCCATCCGTATCCCTTCATATGCAAGAAACAAATCTCATCACAGATAGGCCCTCTCATCTGGTAACGTACAATTTCACACTGCAGCAGGTTCCCCACCATCTCCTTTTCGCATCTTGAACTTCTCACCATCTACTTTCCACCCCAACCTCAATTACTTCAGGAGTGTTGATGAGCTCTGATGGATATATATATATATATTTTTTATAAGTAAAATTTTATAAAAGCGCTCAAAAGGGGAGCGAAGCCCAAAAGAAATTCACAAGGCCACAAAGGACCTTTAAGCCTTCAAAGAGGCCAAAAAATTGACAATTTCCTCTAAAGATCTATGATCTCTCCCTGAAACCCAAAAAAAAAGGGTGGAAAGAATAGAGAATTTAATAGTAGAAATCGACATCTCCTTCCCATAAAAATATCTCCTATTCCTCTCAAGCCAAATACACCACCACACACAAAGAGGCGTAGCCCTCCAAGTATCCTGAACGTGAGCCCCCACATGGCAACCTTTCCAAGCCTCAATCAACCCTCTAACGGATCCAGGCATAACCCAAAGAATCCCAAACAAGCCAAACATCAAATTCCAGCAGTCTCTAACCATGGTGCAATGGAGGAGAAGGTGATCCACAGTTTCCTCATCTCGAAGACACATATAGCAACGATTGACCACCACCTGATTTCTCCTTCTCAAATTATCCTGGGTTAAGATCCTTCCGAGGACAGAGGTCCAAGCAAAGAAACCCATCTTGAGAGGAGCCTTAGAGCGCCAAACAGCCTTCCAAGAGAAGCGAACTCTAGGATCATCCGTGAGACATCTGAAAAAGGACCTAACCTCAAAGCACCCCTGAGAGTTGGCAACCCAAGACCAACTATCAGAATCCCCATCCACAATCCTCTGGCGATACAATAACTCCAAAAAACGAATGACCTCCTCAATCTCCCAATCCGAAAACAATCGCCTGAATCGAACATCCCAAACCAATGTCCCGCTATCAAGATGATAGCAGTTAACCACCATAACTTGCCTATCCATAACAATCTTGAAAAGTTGAGGAAAAGTGAGGGCGAGAGGAGAATCCCCACACCAAACATCCTCCCAAAAACTAATCCTCCTACCATCCCTTGATTCAAAAACAAACGTGTTTGGAAAACACATCCCATCCCTTCCGAATGACTTTCCAAACCCCCACACCCCGAGGACCACGCACCTCCAGAGAACACCACCCTCCTCTAGACTCCCCAAAACGACAAGCAACAACCCTCCTCCAAAGCCAATGCCTCTCCACTCCAAATCTCCACAACCATTTTCCAAGGAGAGCCTTATTAAAAGGCACCAGTCTTCTAAGACCCAAACCTCCATACCAAATTGGCCTGCACACCTGATCCCAACGAACCAGATGAAACTTAAACTCTTCTACTCTACCCCCCCACAAAAAGTTTCGCTGCAATCTCTCAATCCTCTCTGCAATTGAAGAGGGAATCTGGAACAGAGAGATAAAATAAGTAGAAAGGCAAGAAAGGGTGCTCTAAATCAGAGTGACCCAACCTCCCTTGGAGAGATACTGCTTCTTCCAACCCGCCAACCTCTTCTCAAATCTATCCACCACAGGATCCCAAACCCTTACACATCTCGAAGGAGCCCCCAAAGGCATCCCTAAGTAAGAGATGGGAAAAGGGCCAGTACGACAACCAAGAATATCAGCAAATGACTCAATCTCAGGGACCTCTCCCACCGGCACCAAAACGCTTTTACCCACATTCACCTTAAGGCCATAAACAACTTGAAACCAAATTAGGACACACCTCAGATATCTAAGTTGGGACACATTCGCATCACAAAGAACTAAAGTGTCATCGGCAAACATCAAATGGGAGACCTCGAACTGGGGAGTAGCATCCCTGCCCACCCAAAAGCCTCTTAAAAACCCCAACTCAATAGCCCTACTCATCAGTCTGCTAAGGGCCTCCATCACAAACAGGAACAAGAAAGGGGAAAGAGGATCCCCTTGTCTCAAGCCCCTCAAGCTAAAGAAAAAACCGGTAGGAGCTCCATTCACAAGAATCGAAAAGCGAGCATTGGAAATACAAAAATGAATCCATCTCCTCCACCGATCACCAAACTCCATCCTCTCCATCAGGTAAAGAAGGAAGCTCCAACTCACATGGTCGTATGCCTTCTCTAGGTCAAGCTTATACAAAACTCGCGGGACCCCACTACGCAAATGAGAGTCCACACACTCACTAGCAATGAAAGTGGCATTCAAGCTTTTCTCAAAAGAGCCCTGAGCATGGAAAGCATGAAAAGAACCCATCACCTCCCCTCTAACCACCTCCCAGCACTCCAAAAGGAATCTCATAGTAAAACCGTCAGGACCTGGGGCTTTGTCCCCATTACAACTCTTCAAAGCAATCAGAACTTCCTCTTCAGAGAAAGGCTCCTCAAGACCCGAGCACTCCTCACTAGAAATAGAGGCAAACTGAAGCCCTTCAAGCAAAGGTCTCCACTCAACATACTCAGTGAACAACTTTTCATAGAACTCTGAAATGCCCTTGCAGAAATCCTCCTCCTTACAAAAAAGCTCCCCTTCCACCTGAATCCTCCCAATATGATTGCCCCTTTTATGAGCATTGGCCAATCTATGAAAAAAATTCGAGTTACTGTCCCCCTCCTTGAGCCATAAAGCTCTAGACTTTTGTCTCCACGAGATCTCCTCCATGATCGCAAACTCCGCCTTACACTCTGCCCTCCTAACCTTCAAAGCATCTGCCAAATCCCCTTAACCCTCCATCCTATCAATATCAGCAATCTCAGCCAGAACCCGATTTTTTCTCCACATAAGATTCCCGAAGACCTCTTTGTTCCAAATCTTAATACTTTTTATGACTGTTTTCTTCTAGTCCCCGCGTCTTGTCTATTCTTATCCAATTTTAGGAACATCGATATATATATATATATACATATAAATGTATGTATGTATATATATGTGTATGTATGTATATATATGTGTATGTATGTATATAGCACCTGTAGTTTGAGGTACAATTTTTATTTTTTTTTTATTTCACGTGTTCTGATTCTTCTAGTGTCATGTCCGCTAAGAATTTCATGTGTGTACTGTTGATGAGGAATGACTTCTAAGAACATTGAAATCATATCAAAGAGGGTACAATCAAAGCTTGGGTGGAACTATTTTGTGAATTTTAACCATAAGACAGTTTCATCTTTTTGTGAATTAAAGAAAGTTTAGCATGTTATTTTATTTTCCCACTGTGAAGAAGATAATTAGAAACTGTTTTCCCCCCCTCACAATGAAGACAAGAATGGATTCAACCAGTGTGTATCCATGGACAAAAAAGAAGGAAGTTAAGAATAAAAGATTAAAAAAAAAAAAAAAACAATTGATATGCAAAATACACCAAATAGAATATGGCAATGGGATCATCACAATGCACTTTGTTCGTCTTACTCCTAATTTATCTCTTTATATGATAGTCAAGATCATGATGTGGTTGCAACTCAAAAACAGTGTAACTACTTTAAAAAAATAATAACAATAAAATAAAAGCTATGCCAAACGAGGCCATAGAACATTTCACCTCCAAAACCCTATTATACCAATTCGTAATTGACCCCAACAAATTTCACACCTTTTGGCCTTTGTATAATATCAAATCCTTCAGTATCAGCAACTAATTTTATGCACTTACAACAATATATCACCTTCCACAACAAGCCAATTTCAAAACCTTTTCATCTACATACCCTACAACTTTCTTGCACCCTTCTAAACCCTTAACAAGTTTCCTGTAACCTAAGCCACCATGCTGTTCCAAGTTTCTTAAAGCTCTCCAACATCACTACTCTGAAAAATCGATACTTCTTTCTATTGTAACATATTGTAGAGTTACATTCATTGCTTGGCACATTTTGACTTATCAGGAAGCAACAAACAACAGTTCCTGTGGTCACATGCAGATCCCAGTGAAAAAACTCGTGTCATGAATTACCTGGTTGTGGGGAAGCGAATTTTTCCACATCAATAACCAGCATATTGGGCTGCAAAAATTGGGGACATTCAGATAAAAGAACACTTCACAAAAAAATGCTGGTGTTTTCTAAAAATTATGGAACCAAATCGTAATATTATAGTGTTCATTTTGAGCCCAAAAAAATGTGCAAATTTCTTTGGACAAATAAGAAGTTAAATGAAGCACGATGACCAAAAATATAAAAAAGAAATGATGAATGCATAGGGTACCAAAGTCTAAAGAACTTCACCTCAACAAGTGTCTGCTCAAATGCAACGGCCAGAAGCTTATCCTAATCAATGAGGGAAAAAAAAAAAGCACATAGCAATAAGACAGACGCACGAAGAGAGAGAGAGAGAGAGATGCATAAATATGAAATTAACTTACAAGCCATCCTGCAATCCCTGGAAGTTCTGTAACATCAAGCCCATGGCTAAAAAGAGGTTTTACAGTCATCTCAAAATATGGTGGCTCAACAAAACATACCCGCACACGACCAAGAAAAGGCCAATGACGAAGGAACTTCACCCCAATCAAAACCTACAAGAGAGAAAAAAGGGCCCAACTCTGAAGAAGATTTAAGGGTAATGTGGGCATCCAAGGATTTAAAACCATGCTGTTTTATTTAGCAATCAAAGCACAAACTAGTAATTAAAATAGAATACTACAATTTTTAATGTTATTTACCAAACTTTAATGCTAATATTGTCAAAAGATGATGACAAAAGGATGAAATTTTATCAGAGAGAGTAACCTGGTCATAGGCACTTTTATCATAGAGAGTGATTAAAAAAATTGGGCGGGGCTCCTGGAGATATGATCATTTCAAAAGAAAAGTCAAGGATTTATGCTACATTTGGTTCGCGAGAATGAAATGAAGTGGGATTGGGTGATACAGGGAATGGAATGACCATTTCCATTCAATTGTTTGGCTGCAAACATGAAATATTGTAGGAATGAAATGGTTATTCTCATTTCATTGTTTAGTTAGTTCAATTTATAAGTTGGAATGGAATGAGTTTTGAATTGATTTCTCCAAAATACCCCTATTTATAAAAAACAACGTAAATTAACAAAAGAACATATATATAATTACATTTTAATATAATAAAAATAAAATTAGGACAATACATCCCTTAAAGAAAGAAAGAAAAAGAAAGAATAAATGTATTTGCATTAAATGAAAATAATCGGTATGAACAATCGGCATACCAACTATTCAACCAAAAAAAAAAAAACATATGGGCACAGTAGAAAAGAACTGCAACCGGAAAACATAAGCAAAAGAAAGGGAATGCAAAATAAAAGCAAGACCATAAAATCTAGCAATTCAAACAATTACTAAAAAATTTCCCAGCAATTTGGGAAAAGAAAAAAAAAGTAAGTAAAGAAAAGCAACAATCAAAAAGCGTTCAAAATTCTCAAAATGACTAAAGAAGATTCAAAACCAACCAAGGTGGTATATATAATCATATACTATCACACCATAAATCCTAATGAAATAAATCAACAAATGAGAGATACATGAAAGAAGCAGAGGGTATGTGGAGAAGATGCTAGGTCTTTTCTTCTGCCATCGATATGAGAGGCCTTGTTCTCTTGGTTTAAACCCTAACATAATAAATAAGTGCCTGCACTTGGAGAGAGAAGAAAGATTATTGGAGGAAGTTCTCAAAAACCAGTGCATTATACTTGTTGGTTGCCGGCCGGTGGCTTGTTTCCGGTTGTCCCGCAATGACTAATTGATGGAGGCCACAATGGCTACTGGGTTAGGTATGAGAGAGACGAAACCTAAGCAACAGGGTATTATGGTCTTCAAATATTTTATATGGATTTTATGTGGGAATTAAATGGGCATTCCTTAACTTAAGAAGAAGAATGGTCATTCTACCTTTATGTGGGATGACCATTCCACCTTTAATTAAGCTTACCAAACATTAGAAAGGAAATAAAAAGCTAGAATGGACATTCCATTCCAACACCCAGCCTAAGTTTTCCAATTTACCATCGCTTAACTTGGATTCATATGGGGGTCAGTTAGGAGACTGATATATTGGTCAAAAGACTCAAAACAGTATACGATGACAGGTTTTGGGAGGACCGATGGACTTTGCTTTGCTTTGTCTCGTAGATTTCCTTGGTTATTCAGGATCTCTTCGAGAAGACATGCTTTGATTGCAGACTGTTATCGGCTTGATAGCAGAAGGTTGACTTGGGATGTGCATTTTCGTAGAGAGTTTCATGATTGGGAACTTACAGAGGTTGCAGAGTTCTTAGCCTTGCTCTATAGCCAGGTGATGGAGGGGGAGGGAATGGATGAGATGGTGTGGGAGGGTACTCCAAGAGGGGTGTTTGAGGTTAGTAACTTTTTATCACAGCCTTTCGAAGATTCTAGGTCCTCCCTTTCCGTGGAAGGCAATTTGGAGGTCAAAAGCCCCATTGAAGCTGGCTTTCTTTGCGTGGTGTGCAGCTCACGAAAGTATTCTTACCCTTGACAATCTTAGGAGGAGACGACATATTGTGGTTAACTGGTGTTGTATGTGAAAGAAGACGGAGGAATCCGTGAATCACCTTCTTCTGCACTGCCTAGTGGCTAGAGACATTTGGGCTATGTTTTTTATTGCGTGTGGCATGTCTTGGGTGTTCCCAAGATCCACAGTGGAGTTGATTGAGGCTTGGAGAGGGTGTCTAGTGGAGAGCCAAGCCAGGGATGTATGGAAGGCCACTCCCCTTTGTTTATGGTGTGAGAGAAATAGGAGATCCTTCTAGGGTGAGGAAACACTTGTTTGGTCTCTCAAATACAACATATTGTATTCTTTATTTTTTTGGGTAAATGGGTGCAATTGTAAATCTTTGGGGCATCTTTTAGATTTTGTGGATAGCTTAAAGCTATAGTAGTCGCCTTTGGCATTTTGTGTATTCTTTTGGGAGCGCTCCCCTCTTGACGGCCTCTAATGAAACCTTACTTATCAAAAAAAAAAGTATGCGAAGAAAGGTGAGTATATTAGGAGGGGACCATTTCAGTTATCAGTGGGTTCAAAGGGGCTAAATTTTCTTTCCTTTTTCCATTTTCCTTTATCACGTGTAGAAGCATATTGAGCCCTTCAGATCTTTCTTCCCTATAATTTTTTATTACTATGTGGATGTTTCTATCAATAAAAAGGAAAAAATCAGAGTGGTTCCATGACTGCAACTGTTCAATCTCAATCTTAAGGCCATGTCTTTATCCTTGATTGCTATTTTACCTTTACCAATGAAATAATGGTGAGCAAACACTAAACATTGATAAGAAGTCTCTTCATTAATGGAATAGATTGTAGGTGGTGCGGAATGGCCAAATATCAGTCCAAGAAGATAAGCACTTTCATTTCTTACACATTAGTGTGCATGAAACTGTATATATACTGGTCCTCTTCTGGCTTCTTTGGCTAGGAGTTGGCTTGTGTGGTCAACCCTCAAGTCGGGAGTTTGAGGACTGGTAGAGAGAGGAGCAAAAACTCTATATATCATTTGGATTAATCAAGTATGCATTAATTTATTACAGTTCCCAACTTATCATCATCAAACACTATATTCAGTAGTTTTACGACATAAAGATCATATTGATTACTTACCTTTCCTTCAACATGCATGCCCAACAAATGCAACTTTGCCCACAATCCAAAACCCAGTCTTTTCCTTAGTTTCACACCAAGTAGTGCGCTCATGTCATCCGCAGTACGAAAATTCATTCCTAACTCCAGAACCTGCGGTAAACGAATCTCACAATCCCTTTTGCTAAGAGGTACATAAATGTGGCCACAAAGAAGACACTAAAAAACTGAGTGCACCAATATTGAGATAGAATCACATACCAAGTGGTCATCACCAGTAAACTGATTCAGAACCCTCATCTCTGTGAATATAGGCGGAGATCTACCTAAGTACAGCTCGTGAACCACAGCTTCCTTCTGCATAAATAATAGCCTTAGTAAATAAGGGTTAAGTGCACAAAACCCTCCTACACTACAAAAAAAATTGAACGGTACTCCAATGGAATAATCTGAAGTATAAATTTGCAAATAAGGCCAACAACCTAATATATATTTCTTATAAATTACAAAATTGTCTTTCCACATATTTGCACGTTAACCCTTTGAAGTTTGAACAAGGCGTAATATGCAAATTTTCTATAGCTCATTGGGTTATTGAATTAATCCAAAAGGGGGATTTTTCAAAACTCTCTGTTTTGAAAAGAACTTGACAGAAGGGGGTGTTATGCAAGGTTTTTGTTGGGAATAAATCCTCCCAAGAGCTCACACGAAAAATATGCAATAGCAACAAATAAAAAATAAGATGGAAATAACACACACATTATAAAATAAGATTTACGTTGTTCATCAGCCCACAGGTGTGAGAAATCGTATTTTTGAAATATTAAAAGTACAAATATAAAATTATAATTATTAATGTAAATGGGTATTTAGAGAGAGAGAGAGAGAGAGATATAAGTGAATGTGTATCTAGATATATGTGTGCTTTAATGCATGGTTTAATGGGCAATTATTGTGTGCTAAATACAATACTATGAAGAGTCATGCAATTATTATAAGAATCGACTCTTGAGTTTCTTGTTACATAAGGATCCAGACGCTATATGACTTAAGATATTCTACATTCATTACACATTAATTATGCATTACTTGCATGACTTTAGATATTATGCATTCATTACACACAAATTGTACATTAATTACATGACTTTAGATGTTCTAAATTTAACTATAAAGAGACCCAAAGCTGGTAGATTGTTAATCACTTGAAAGAATAAGAAAAAAGAAAGAAAACTCAGTTTACAAACCATGAACTTGAGCTTGTAGAGTGGTTGGTCGGTGACAAGTAAGGCTTATAGAGCCACTCTTTATCTCATGGAGTCATGCAAAATGATGGAACTAAATTTAGATGTTATTATATTATTTTGATCATATCAATTACATTACATCATATTGTCCCAAATAAGGTTGCATGTGCTCATGCATATATAACCGGAAAAAAATAGGAAGGAGTGAAAGTGTTTCGGTCGCGGAGAATGATTGAGAATCTGCTAGTGTGCAGTATACATGTTGAGGATTATTTTGATTAACTTCATGTATTGAATTTAAGTTACTATTTGGGTTTGGATTATTTCCATTTTTTGTTTCTTTTATATTTCAATTTTGCTTCTAATTGTATGACATTCTAACGATACAGCACGGAGGACTTCGGACCTGAGATTTTGGTCGCGGGAGGAGAAGGAAAATTGGGCGAATGTTAGTACGATCAAGATGAAAGGCGCTGGGGTTGGCTCGAAGAAGTTTCGGCACGGCAAGTGTTGTCAGAACTTGCTCTCTGGGAATAGATTTGAACCACTTCAGTCAGGATCTTTGGGTGATGATGAGAAAGGCAGTTGTGCTTCCATCAAAGAAGATGGAGTATCTTCGTGTAAATCGTTTCAGTCAAGTAAAAAATGGACCAGAAAGGACAAGCAGAAGTGGGTCACCCGCAAGGTTCCTCCCTCTGAACTTGGTATGTACCCCTCATCCCTTTCTCGGAGCTTTATCTTTGCTCCTCCTTTTTCTACTCCTTGTGGGGTGTTGAGGAGCGAGGTGGGGGAGGATCTGGGTGGGAGGTCTCGGATGCTTTTCCCAGTGGTTGAGGTGGACTTTGTTGATGAGGTGATTGATATAGATGTTTACGGGTTTGGGGTGTTTGGGCCGTCAGAAAGGGATGGGACGGTCAGTTTGCTTGTTGATAGGGGGAATGATTGTAGTTGTGTCGGGCATGCTAAGTCTTGCTCGGATTTTTCTTCCTCTTCTCTGCGGCTTGGTTCGTCTGGGGATGAGCTGGGTAGGCTGGTTGAGCCTTTTCTGAGTAGAATGGAAGGTCGGTGCTCTCCTAAGGGTGATGTTCCGGTGACACCTACGACGGGTATTGTGCCAGATATGATGACAGTTTGTGTTGGCAAGGATATCCGAATTACTCTCAGTGAGTTGCTGAAGCACAGGTGTTTGCCTGATGATTTGCCCACTATTGATTCTGATTCTTACGTACAGGAAGGTGGGATGGACAGTGGTAATGACTGGCTGTCTTGTTTTGATGAGGTGGAGGAGACTGAGGGAGCTCATGTTGATGGGAGCAGGGTTGATCATAGCAGGCCTCTTAACATGATTTTGTGGGAGGAGGGCCTTTCTAATGTGGGGATGGTGGATCCTCTGGCTATTGTACGACCGGAGGGTATGGACAGTGAGTTGGGTAGGCAGGTGCGTGATGATACTAGCAAAGATTGGGTCATGACAAATATTGGGGCCATTAGCGAACTGTTGGGTGTCTCTTACAAGGGTAATCGGGATCAAGCCTTAGCGATTCTTCAGGCTATGGTGGAGGGGAAAGAAGGGGAGATAGTACAGTTTACTAAAAGGAGCAGCAAAAGTAAGAAGATCCATCTTGCTTGGAGATGGGAGATGGGAGTTGAGAAATCTTTGTTCAGACGTGAACTATGATAGGAGGTTTGAGGGGGAGAAGGAAAGGGGAGGGAGGGGGGGCCAAGGGGGAGGTGGGTGATCATGTTTCCTCATGAAGCTACGAATTTTATCTTGGAATGTTCGTGGTCTCAATGACCCGGGCAAGAGAAAGATGGTGAAGATGGCTCTGAGAAAATGGGGGGTTCATTTGGTGTGTTTTCAAGAAACGAGATTGACACTATGAATGATAAAATGGTTAAGAGCCTTTGGGGAAATCGGTTTGTTGAGTGGGAGGCCCTAGATTCTCTAGGGACCTCTGGTGGTATTCTTCTTATGTGGGATAGGAGATGGATGGCTAAGGTGGATGTTTGTAGGGGATGCTTCTCTTTGTCTTGTTATTTTGCGATGGCAGAGGATGGCTTATCTTGGGCCTTCACTAGTGTGTATGGGCCGGTGGATGACTGTGAGAGGGATGGGATGTGGGAGGTGCTTAGTGTGGTGAAAAGGAGGTGGTCTCTTCCTTGGTGCGTGGCCGGAGATTTCAACGTAGTTAGATCCATGTCGGAGAGATCTACAGGTGGTCCTTAGACTCAAGCTATGATGCACTTTTCGGATTTTATTGATGGCCATCAGCTTATTGCTCTTCCTTTAGAGGTAGCTTCTTTTACTTGGTCTAGTGGAAGGGAAGCGCCTACTCTTTCCCGCCTGGATAGACTCTTGATTTCTAGAGAGTGGGAGGAGAAGTTCCCGGACGCTGTTCAAGCTGCTTTGGCTAGGGTGACGTCGGACCACATTCCTTTGGTCTTGGACTGTGGAGGATTGAGTTCTCGTTGTACTCCTTTCAGATTTGAGAACATGTGGCTTAGATTGAGAACATGTGGCTTAGAGCGGTGAATTTCCAAGGGAGTGTGCAATCTTAATGGGAGGAGGATATGGTGGTGGGAACGTCGAGCTTTATTTTAGCAAGAAAGTTTCGTCTCCTAAAAACAAACTCAAAAGATGGAATAAGGAGGTGTTCGATAATCTGGAGCGGAGGAAGAATAGGGCACTTGCTGATAATGCTGAGCTTGATAGATTGGAAGGGGTGGGTGTTCTTGTTGAGGCTCAACATCAAAGGTGTTAGGCAGAATGTGTCGAGATTGCTGTTTTGGAGGAAATCTCGTGGCGTCAGAAATAAAGGGAGACTGTAATACAAAGTTTTTCATAGAACTGCTAATGCTTATAGGAAGGGCAACCATATTGAGCGGATGTGTGTGGACGGAACGGTGTTAAATACAAAGGAGGAGGTGCGTAAGCAGATCGTTTCTTTCTACCAAAGGCTTTACTCTGAGCCTCTTCGGTGGAGGCCACGGCTGGATGGTCTTCACTTTGATTCCATATTAGTTGTGGAAAGGGATGGGTTAGAGAGCTCTTTTACGGGGGAGTAGGTTCTGAAGGCTTTAAAGAGTTGTAATGGTGATAAGGCTCTAGGTCCGGATGCCTTTACTATGAGATTTATGTTGGAGAGCTAGGAGGTGGTTAGACAGGAGGTTATGGGCACTTTTCATGAGTTTCATTCTAATGGGAGGTACGAAAAGTCGCTGAATTCCTCTTTTATTGCTCTTATTCCTAAGAAGGGCGGTGCTTCTAACGTTAAGGACATTAGACCAATAAGTTTGATTGGGTATATGTAAAAGCTTATCACTAAAGTCCTTGCGTTAAGATTGAGGGAGGTTTCGGACGAAGTCATCTCTGAGTCTCAAAATGCGTTCATAAGGGGTAGACAGGTCTTGGATTCCGCTCTCATTGCCGACTCTAGACTTAGTAATGGTGTTCATGGAGTTTTTTGTAAACTGGATATTGAGAAAGCCTATGATCATGTTTGCTGGAATTTCTTGTTTTATCTGTTAGAGAGGATGGGCTTCGGGGAGAGATGAAGGAGCTGGATTAAAACTTGCGTTTCCTCAGTCAGGTTTTCGGTGTTGGTGAATGGATCTCCTTCTAGGTTCTTTGGCAGTTCTCGTGGTCTGAGGCAAGGGGACCCTCTCTCCCCTTTCCTATTCATCATTGTTATGGAGGCTGTTAGTAGGTTAATGAGAAGGGCTGTGGATTTGGGTTTCATCAGGGGCTTCAAGATTGGTCTTGATTCAGTTCAGCAGATGGAGATATCTCACTTGCTTTTCGCGGATGACACTCTGGTTTTCTGTAGAGCAGAGGTGTCCCAATTGAGATATTTGAGATGTGTCCTGGTTTGTTTTCAGGCTGTTTCTGGTTTGAAAGTCAACGTGGGAAAGAATGTGCTTGTCCTTGTGGGGGGAGGTTCAGGAGGTGGATGCTCTTGTTACTGCCTTAGGGTGTGGGACGAGTTCTTTCCCTACTTCGTACTTGGGCTTGCCGTTGGGTGACTCGGCCAGAAGGGTGGGTAGTTGGGACCCAGTGATTGAGCGGTTCAAAAGAAGGTTGGCTGGGTGAAAAAAGCAATATCTTTTGAA